CAGCATTCTATTAGTTTCAGGTGTACAACATACTGATAAGATATGTGTATACCTTACAAAGTGACCCTCCGATAAGTCCAGGACCCACCTGACACCACGCCCAGCGATTACAACATCACTGACTGTCTCCCCTCTGGTGTCCTCTACATCCCTGTGGCAGCTTTTCATAACTGGCCTATTTTTCATGTGAGGACCTTAACGCATTAGGTCAAACATAGAAAGTACTACCACAGCCTTAAATATAGACTCACCTGCTTCTGGATTTGGTGCTTCCATGCACATTAATTAGACCCAGAAATAGTTGGTTCTTGAACATTAGTTCCATGGCGTGTAATACAACGGTTTGCATTTCTACCCTCTTCTTGAACAGGTGGTTGGCAAGGCCTCGTATCAGATCATAGAAGTCCCACCTGCATTTGTAGCTCACTTCACATTTTTACAGTTATATCTATTCAGTTACATATACTTCACTTTAAAATATTATTATGCTTATTATCTAATTTGATCTCCAGAAGGAAAATTTAATTTTTCCTATGGTATGATCTAATAATTAACAGGTTAGCTCCTCAGTATCATATATAAGGAGAGGACAGTGGAGGAAAGAAAGCAGGGGGCAGCAAAGGAGGTGAGAAGGGGTGTTGGGGAGAGGGGGAAAGAGGGAGTAAGACCGATGACTGCTTAGTAGGAAAATTCACCTTTGTATCTCAGTATCTCACAGTGTATGGGACACTGGACACACAATGGCTGTGGAAAGGGAGGGAGGGAGGAAGAAGGTGAACTTGAAGATGATCTAGTGTTGGCTGGCTCAAGAAGTGACATGCTCTCCAGACTGTTTATGATTTAAGATCTCAAAATCAGGATCAAGTTCAAGTCAATAGTAGGGTTTCCCTGGACAGTAGAACCGGACTGAATTCACTGGAATCTGCAAAAGACCATGGCTCCTAACCCAGAACATGCACAGAACGTAGAAAGTGTGCCTGTAAGTACATCGCAACAGGAACCTCGGGGGAGGCACAAGAGTGACAGAGGGCTCCCACACGGGGCCCGGACCTAATACAAAAGGGCAAGTTAACTGTTCACTTATCATCTAACAGGGCTGAGTAAAGACTGGCAATGCACCTAGGATCAAAAATATAAGGATGTAACATATACTAGTTAAAACTGGGACACTCCAAAAATACCAACTGATTTCGGTCAGCATAGCTGTGATTCTGTCTGGAAGTAAAATTCAATCATAAAATAGAAATTATAAACATGAAAATATGCTAAAATGCTTAAGGCTGTCCTTTTACATTTTCAACAGATAATCTTTTAATGCAATTACTGTAATTTTATTAAATGGAATAATTAGTTAATGCCTGAGAAGTTGTCAATAGAAGGTGCAATTATGTTGTAAAAATTCGAATCACAATTTGCAATAATGGATTGTCCTTATAAAAAAAGTGCTGTATATTATTTAAAATATATTATGTAGTCCTCTGTGGGAAGGAAGATGGGGGAAATCATCTTAAATATTAAATAAACCAACTAATAAACTGTCAAATATTTTAAGCATTTTATGTATTTCTACATTTTGCATATAACTATATATACACATGCATTTCAGATGTCTACAAAATATCTTCTCCAGGCAAAATGGTGATTGCAACTGTGGATTTCCTCCAGCTTTAGGTAAACACTGTTCATCTTTGAGTTACAACTGCACAAACACCTACCAATAGGCAGTGTGACTTCCAGCAGATGTGGAAACAGACACTAGAAGTTTAATCAAAGGCAGGTAGAGCTAATTATGAATAAACTGGTGATAGAACTGAAAGAAAAAGTTAACCTTTTAGGAACAGCGAACATAAATACCTAAAAGCATCAAAAAATTTTGACCAGTCCTAAATTAATAATAAATTTGAAAGCAAATTTTCATTGTAGTGGTCGTTTGTACCAATGCAAATTCAGTTGGAATGTTCTGTGGTCCACAGAAGAGATCGGAGACAGACGCTCTCATATAAAATTTTGCCTAAACTGTACTCACAAAACATTCCACAGAGAAATTTTTTTGTTTCCCAAGTGCCTTTTGCTTCTGTGTGTTTGTGTGTGTTTGAAGGATCAGTTCTATTACTGCTGCTGTTGCTTTGAAGTTTAATAAATAATTATTTCCCAAAATTCTAGGATCTCTAAACATGAAGGATTTTGTACATGTTAAACATGGGATATCACTGAGAAAGTGGAGAATTGCATTTTTAACCTTTCTGGGGTAAGGGGAGTTGATTGATGCTTTAAATTATGTATCATATTGCAGACCCTGTCAACTCTGAAGAATACATTCTTCATTTTTCCTCCACTCAAAAAGTTTCAGGAAAAACCTCACAGATGTGAAAATCATAGCTTTATGAAGATGCCCATTGATATATGGAGGATTTAGATTACTTTTAACATCAAACGTCCAGGAAAAAATTTAATAAAATAAGGAATCCATCACTGCCCCACAGACTTGCCTCCCTTGATGCACTAGGTGTATAGTGCCTGAGAGATTGGCGGAAAACCCAAACTACATAAGTGCAATCCTTTTTTACAGCATTAGGAGACCTTTGCTATCGAAAATAATCTCCTGATGATGACATCTGTCAAGTAACAGCCTTATTGTCACATAAAAAAAAACAAGTGCATTTATGCCAAACTACACCTTGGGTCTTTTATAGATAATACTTGGGTTTATAAAATATTAGTACCCAATAAAAACCAAAACAAACCAAAAAATCCATAGTTACAATTGGTTCTACCAATTGTGTTAATTATAAGCAGTTAATGTGAGTCTGGGGGCAAGATCCATGAAAGCAAAATGTTGCTCCCCCAAATAAAGGTCTGGCTACACATAACCTTACTTTAAAATATGTATTTTTTAAAATTTTATCCTAAAAGTGCATTTTCTTATTTGCCCTTGTTTTAAGAGCAGAACGAGTTCTGGAATGACCCATCAGGGATGTCATTACAAAAACATTCTCTAATAAAATTATACTTCACCAGCTTGGGGAGGGGGGCACCCCTCTAATAGCTGCAGTGTCTCTGAGATTCCCTACAGTGGTCAACATAAGTGTGAGACAAACGAGAGCTAGAGTTTCAAATTAAAACTGTAAACCAAACACATATAAGTGAGCACTCTTCATTCCAGTACTTTCAGGACGAGAGAGAGAGAGAGAGAGAGAGAGAGACAGAGACAGAGACAGAGAGAGAGAGAGCAAGCCGCTGGCAGAGGGAATGGACAGGGCAGAAGTGACCCCCCACTAAAGCTCCCTTCCCGATCAGAGTGCCCATTAAGACAACCTATTTCTATTCATTTGTTGTAATCTTTCTTCAGATCAGGCCGGCAGCCCATTAATCATTTCTGTCATTCTCCTACATAACCCAGGGCAACAGATCTGTTTTTCTAAAAATCACGGTGCCAGAAACTAAGCTCAAGGAAGAGAAAATTCTCTCCTCCCCGCAGAGGCTGGCTGGGCTGCCGACTGGAAGAAGCCACTGATCGTGGTGACTTTCCTCTTTTGCCTGGAGTCACACAGAAAGTCCCACACAAAGTGCTGAGGAGAATTCAGGTAAGAAGTCGGGGAGAGAGTGGCTGAAGAACCACCTAATACAGGAAGCCCTCAGCAGAGGTGAACTTGAGAAAAGGGAATGGGTGAATACACGCCAAGACAAAGGCAGATGTGGATTAATAAAGTCCTTAGTAATGATTTTACAAATGCCAATTGTCTTACCAGCTTCAGACCCAGGAGAAAATTTATTGAAGGTCAAGGCTGCAACCATCATAAGCCCTCTACATGCCAAAGCAATGAAACACTTAACAACAGCTAGACCAGCCATGATGCTCTCCAATGACAAGAACAAAGTCTCTGAAAGAGATGATATACTTGCTCCATAGGTGGGAACCATAAAGGGTGAAGTGACCTTGAACTCACTGACATTTTGGACTATTTTTTTAAATGAAGGTATGCTTTTGAGTGGGGAGAGGGCCTTGACAACAAAAAATAGGAGACAGAAGGGCCATGGTCATGCCCTGGGGTCATGACTCAGACCACTCACATGTCATATGAGCCCCCAATGAGATCTTTGCATAGGACAGAAATGCAAATGGCATGATATGAAAGGCGCAAAATTAGCAGTTGAGAGACTTGGTTTCTCCTCTCACAGCTGAGCCAACCAATCTGATCGAAGACAAGTCCCTTCACAAATGAAGGGGAAAGCGCAGAGATGTAGAGGGCGTGGTGCTGGCTTTCAAGCCCTCCTAAGTTTCTAGGCCTCTCAGTGGTTGACCAGAGTGGTTTTAGGGTCTCTGGCAGCTCTGAGGTTCTGTGATTTTATTGCACTTATTAACATGGGCCCATATGATCAGTGAGAAGTACATTCCACATATATTAGTGGTTCTCCTCTGTGGGGCTGAGTCAACTTGTAACGCGTAGCAATCAATTATTTCTCAAGTCATGTGATATGAATAAATGATTTTTTATATCAAAGTTGGTGAATGGTTTACTTAAAACAAAAATTAGAGCAATTTTGCCTTAATTTAGGCATGGTTTCTCAATGGTCCTTTTTCAAAAACCACTGGCATTCACTGGAACGAAAGGAGAGATCTCCGCACAAAGCAGGGATTGTACTAATATGGTTACAACACCACCACAAAAACATTTAAAATAATCCAGAACATTGGCTCTCTGGAACCTACCAAGAGGTAGTATATAAGTAAGATTTGGGTAAATTAGGTGATTTCCAAGGGTAAATCTGACTTACGTACTGTACTATCTTACAAATATATCTTCTACATAATGACCTACACCATAATATATTTTAAGAAAAAGGAATGGATACCATTTATGTTTAAGTTTCCATGTAGGTGTGAATGGCAGCTAGGCTGACTGGGTACCACTCTGCGTCACGGCAGTGAAATGAAGCCCATCTGCCTTTGGCGTTAGGACTCAGGAGCAAACAATTTGAGCATGAAAAAGGAAGCTTACCACGAATGCTACTGTGCTCCTCAGAGTGGATTCCCACTGGAAGCAGCTTTTAAGGAACTGTATTGTATTCCAGATCGCCATAGTGATTCTTTTCACACGGTCCACATCTCTTGATAAGATCTGATCAAAAGAAATGGAAAACCGAGAACTGGATTTGAATACTCCCCAAATTCTCTGTAGACCAGGCGGCTCGGTCGTTTAAATTGTATTCTGTATTGCTGCCAGCTAAAAAATAGAACGGCAAAGTCCTCACACTTCTTCTAAAATCCCTTTTTAAAATACGATCGTCCATAGAGGAAAGGGAAATACAATGCATTTCATGGCACCTTTGGGAGAGAATAAACTGCTTCAATAGCATCACGAAATTGGGCTGGCAAAAGCTACAGATCCTCCAGGCCTCTGGGTGTGTGCATGTGTGTGTGCGTGTGTGTGTACATGTGTGTGTGCATGTGTGTGTGTGTGTGAGAGAGAGAGAAACAGAGAGAGACACAGGGAATGGGACCAAGTGTCTACCTTGTCTAGTTTAGAAGAAAAAGGATAATTGATAGTAGAGGTGTACAGGTATCCTAAGTCATCGAGTCCAGAAGAAGTCTGTAAGAAAGTGTAGCTTTGAGAAAGGAATCTAGTTCTCCCATCTCCTGGCTGCATGCCTTGGGCCAGTGTCTAACCTCGGTATACAGTGGGGTTGACACCAATCTTAAAGACTGTGGAGAGAACTAAAGTGCTTAGAATTGTGCTTGTCGCATAGTAAGTGCTTTGAAGTATTTACGGCATAAACACAAGTTTCAATTTTATGAAAATTCAGCGACACCTAGTAGTAGGGGACACCTAGTGGTTAAGAGGCATGTGGGGAGGACCCTAACATGCCCCAGGATGCCAGCCCCAAACCCCCCCTCCCCCCGCCAGTGCTCTCAGAGCCCACAGCCACCCCACGTGGAGGTCTGTGTTTGGCAAAGGAAATGTCTCTTCTCCCAGTTGTGGGCAGATTCATTTCAATTTGTTTGCAAAGCTGCCACCCCACCTACCTCAACTCAGGTTTTAACTTTCAAGTAAACAGAGCAAAGGCAACAAGAATAATACAAAAATAAGAGGTTTACTCCAATTACACAAAGTAAATATCACACTTAATGTTATTGCAGACCAAAGCAAAACATGTGGATGCTCCCTTCAGGAGACGTTCAAGGCCTTTCCCAAGTGCACCCAGAAGTTCATGGGAAACAAAAGGATGATAAGGCGCCTTTATATTTAACCGCTTTATGTCATCAACAGCTGCTCACCCCACAGGAAGTGGTGGAAGTAATAAACGCTTTAAAAAAGGGGACACTTTGTTCTTTGTTATACAACTGAAGAGGGACAATAAGTACCAAGTGAAATCCTGAACAGTGTCTGAACAGGACAGGGTGGGGTCTGGAAAGAAATGTAAAAGTCATGTTTTTTTTTTAAAAAAAAAAGTGCAACTTCCCCTACTGGGCTCAGACCTTCACTTTTGGTTGAAATGAAGACAGAGGAATTCAGGGCAATGAGCATAGGAGACAAGCCATTCAAAATGCAATGAAGTAACCCCAAATTTAGATGACACTAATGTGGTAGAAGTGTGTGAGTCTAAGACTAGAAGCCGCTAAAGATTCACAGGGTTCATTTTCTTTATGGACTAAATGGACAGAATACCTCCGTGAAAATCGGAAGGACAGAGACAGAAATGGCTGTGATTAACGGAAAGTAGGCAGGACAAGGAGAAGCCTGAGAACACTTACAGAGGCTTGAGGCCAGGAATTTCTGTTTATAGGATGGTTCAGGAGATTGATGGAAGGCTGGCACCTGTTTTATTCAATAGAGGTGGTTTAAGTCTTTTTCTTATTAAGCTGACTGAAGGCTTTGTTTTGGGAGAGGAGGAGAAAGAGGAGGAGGAGAGAGGAAAGGAGGAAGAGGAGGAGGAAGGGGGAGAGGCAGAGAGGAAAGGGGACAGGCCATCAAGTAATGACGAAGAGGACTTCAGGTCCTGCATGCTGAGTGCCCCAATAAGCCAGCTCCCCACAGAGACCCACCTTTTTGGACAACTTGCGGCTATCTTCAACAAAGCGCTTTTCCCTGGGAGTGAAGGTCCTAATACTTGCTTTGATCTAGAAAGACATCGTGGTTAGAAAGAGAGGCATTTCTATGGATTTCACGTCTCTCCTTTTCCTCTTAATAACTGGGAAGAACTGGGAAACCAACACCATCTGACCCTAAGGCCTTGGGAAGGGGGGAAAGTGGAGAAACGGTGGCCACCCCTGTGCCCTGCGGGTGTTTCTGGGGGTCTCATTTGCAGGAGCCTCACTTGGGTAGGTCAGACTGGATCTGGCCCAGCCTAGAATGGTGGCCAATCAGTGGAGGTGTTTTAAACCACTGCAGAGACTGGGTTCATGAAGTTCTCAAACTGAAGTGTCTGAATAGGAACACTTCCCTTCACATCAAAGTTTTGAACTACTTTTTCACCAATAACATCTTGCATGTGAAAATATGCTTTTCACTCATAAAAACATCCTTTGTACAGATAATCTCATTTCTTCTCAATGAGCCAGAGAAATAGGATTAATACCAGTTGAAAACGGGAATGTCCAGCTCCAATTTGATGGCTGCTTTAAAACACTTTTCTCTCCTTCTCCCCTCTCCCCTCTCCCCCCTCCCCCTCCCTCCCCTCCCTTCCCCTTCCCCCTGCCCCACCCCCTCCCTCTCTCTCTCTCTGGGTCTTTCTCCTAGTCCTTCTCTCTTCCTCTCTGCAATACTTCTGAAATATTTTACATCTGAGTCTCTCCAGACTGGCCACCTTTCATGTTAAGTATGGTGAAACTGGAAGATATGCCCAGTTAAACTTACCGGATTATATATGAGGTCCATCTCCAGGTAAATAACTCCTTTGAAAGCTTGTTCTAAATCCTTATTCTTCAGTACGTAACAATTTGTTTGCCCATCTCGAATCTGTTATAAGCAATAGATACAATACAAACTTTCTGTGGGGCTTGAACTAAACGAACCGACAAAGTTGAGAATGCAGAATGCAGAGTACAACACAGATGAAGCACATATTTAGCAAATATGAAAATCAGCTTAAAACAACTTTTAATTCTAGAGTGCTGCTATGACTCATAAGAAGATAAAGTAACAATCACCAGGCTGAAACTGATTACACTAATGGAAAATTAGTGACAGAAATTATTACTACATCCACATGGCCTTTCCTTCAAAAATCTCAGAGGTCGTGCATTTTTATTTATTTTAAAAAATGATAAATATTCTACCCGATTCCTGGCCAGCATTCCTCAAGATGGCTAAGGTCATGGGAAAAGGGAAATGGGGACCAGCGGTCACAAATCAGAAGACTAAGAAGATAAGATAACTGAATGCCATGCAGTAGGTGCCCTGGTTAGATTCTGGCACAGAAAAAAAGACACTTTTAAAGCTGGTGACATTCAAATAAAGACCAGAGTCGAGTTAACAGTCATGTGCAATGTCAGTCTCTGGTTGGTTTTTTGGGTGTGTGTGTGTGTGTGTGTTTTGTTTTAAGTTTTGACAAATGCACCCTGGCTATAAAAGATGTCAACACTAGAGGAAACTCAGCAAATGGTATCTTGGAACTCCTTATTATCTTTGCGACTTTTCTGTACGTTGAAAATTATTCCAAAATAAAAAACTCGGTAAAAATGTTTTAAACATAAGTAAAAGAACCAATTTTAATAAAATGATCAGTGTTTCACAGCCAGGGGGACATGCAAATTAATCAGGCCGCTAAAGTTGAGGTCAAAACAATTCAAAAATATTTAAAATGTGCAAAATACTGACAAACCTTCAAAATAAAAAAAAAATCCCTCTGATAGCCCGTGCTGGCAGGCATGCTACATCAATCCCACACACTCATCTAGCTGTGGACTCCAGCTTGTAAGGTATCTAAGAAAAACACTTCCTGCATCATTTTGGAAACACCTCGGCTCCCATTAAGGCACTTTCTTTTCAGAACGGATAGCGGTGATGCTTTTATTACACACAGTTGTCGTATACGTATTGATTAAACTCCGGGCCCGCCAGAGACATACCTGTTAACTCCAAAATGACATCAGCAAAATTGGAGCTGACCGAAAGCTCCATCTGGGATTGTCAATGACCAAAGATTTGAAATAACATAGGAGATTGGAGGCCATGAAATTTGAGCCGTATTTTAAAGGACTATTGCTGTCACTACAAGCATCCAGCACAAGTGTGCTTATAAACAGGGGTGGAAGTGAGTTGAATAAGTCACGCGGGGGGAAACAGCCATTTCACTTTACAAGGGAGAGGTCACCTTCCTGGCCAAAGTCGCCCCACCTCTCCGCATTGAATAGGTCTTACACAGAAAGATGGTTTTCCTGGCCGGTGGCTGAAAGGAAGGGGGTGCGCCATAAAGACCTGGTTCCCTTCCTAAACGGTGTCCAAACAGGATTCGGAGCTTCCTCTTTTATTCACGGTCTTACTTAATAAATTGTGGGTGTGAGAGTTGAAAGAAATAAATACAAAAAACAGCATGACCATTTGCCAAGCTGACTTTCGTCCAATTTAGCTTTGCTTCGGCCCACAGGCATTGTACCGTTATCTTAAAATTTCCATGATTTCTTAAGGGTTAGGGAAGGTCAACAGAAGAACAAGAAGTGTCGGTATAAAAAGAAATATTTCATAGTAAAAGAAGTTTTGTTGTTTCATGGTTTTTTTTTTAAATTTGGTAAATGATTGTTTCCTCTTTCTCAATATCCTAGAATTGTATCAGCAAAACGCAGAATCTACCTAGGGACATTAAAGTAGCTATTAAAGACAGAGAGATAATTAAGGCTATTCAGGTTTGGCACTGTAGCACAATATTGTCTTAAAATATGTAAATTCCAAGTTTAAAAATTTGTAAAATGTTTGAAAAAAAGACAGAAAACATTAAAGCACCTTTGAACTTCCATAAATACCATAGTTCCTCCCCTGGATGGGAATTAGAGAGAAATCTGATATGTAGCCTGCCCAAATTTTTATTGAGAATTTATTTTCATAAATATATCCTTGAAAAAAGTATTTAAAATTTTTGGTCTGAGTATCAAACTGTATGTACTTTGGAAGTTCATTTCGTACCTATCAATATGATTTTATATTGAATAATTTGTATTAGTATATAGATCTACCTCATTTCTTTAACCTGCTATATAATGTTCAAAATATGAATAAATCACAATTTATGAATTTTTTTGTTGAGGAATATTTGGTTGATTCCACTTTTGCAGTCTGTCTGCTATAAGGAATATATTTTGGGAAAATATAAAGAATAAAAGGGGGAATATACTACCTCACAGGTGAAATATGTTTGGTTCAAGAATAAATCCATGCATTGGAATATTTAGTATCATAATTCAATGTTGAAATGGAAACAAAAAGAAAAAATTTTAAATATTTTCATTTTCTACAATCTTTTAATTTAACCTTTACTGTATTTTATACAGCCTTTATGAAATTGAACTTCAAACGCTAGAATATAGGATTAAAAGTTCTGTAAACTCCCAGTTTGCCAAACTCCTATAGGTAAGCATTATGTTAGGAAATAAGAGCAAAACATAATTTTATTGTCAAGAACTGTTTATTATTTATACTTAGAAATCAGAAAATTACGTTATAGTTTTAAAACCTCCATTAAGCAGGGCAATTAAAACACAGCCAAAAGAAAATTCAATGTCCTAGGACACAGCGATTTTGATGTTTTTTCCCCTCCTACAATACTGTGTTAATTTATACTCCAGGCCTCTCTGAAGAAGCCCATCCATTTTCTTGCAACTCCGCCAACTGTAGGCATTTTTATTTAATATACAGCAATTTCGCAGGAATAAAATGGCCTCGGGTTGTTTTAATATGTGCTTTTTTAATAACTAATGAGACCGATCATTTTCTTTCATATGTTTATTAACAGCGGGCCATGGTAGGATGGGGAGGCCAGATAGACTTGGATTCAATTCCCATTTCTGGCATTTAGCATCTGTGTGACCACGGGTAATGACTCTCTCCTCGAGTCTCCACTGACTCTCTAAAACAGAGACCTAGAATATAAATGCTCAAAGATACGTGTATATTAAATTTTAATCCATTTTATCAAGGTACCTTCAACAAGGCTTGTCCCAAGTCATGCTCTCTCCGACAGTGTTTGAAAGTCCTATCTCTATACTTAGTCATCACCATCACTGAAAAATCTTTACTATATTTATTAATCCGATTGCTTAAAATAATTAAATAATTTAAGTTAAATAAAGGTGATGAAGATGACAGTTTATAACGTACGTGCTTACCATGTGCTATACTGTAATCACTTTACATTTGCCAAACCATTTACATCCTCACCACAGACCTCTCAGTGTAGGTATTATGATAATTGTCTTCATTTCATCGAGGAGAAAATAGAAACAGAGAGGTTTAGTGACCTACCAAAAGTCACACAGCAAGTTCAGGAAGAAGACTGGGTGCCAACCCAAGCAGTCTGGATCCACTGTCTATACTCTTGATAATCATAATTATGTGTGAATAAAGTGTGAGCCACTCATATGATTATTAGTTTAACTATTCTGTTCAAATTAACTTTTCTGCCAGGTTGACATGTCTTTCCCTTATTGATTAAAATAGAAAACCTTTAATGTTAGTGATATTATCTATTCACCTGTTTAATTACTTTTTACAGAACTAGTACTTGAATTTATCAAATGTACTGTTTATATATCTCCTACATTATTGTTAATTTTTATCTTCATTAATCCCTTTCAAATTTTCTTTGGTCTATCTTATTTTAGCTCCTTTTGTTAAGACACTTAAATGACTTTCAACCTTTGTTGTGTAATTATAAAAACATTCAAACTAAATAAAATTTTAAAAAAACATTCAAGGTGAGAATTTCCTCTGAACAGTACTTTTGGCCCTTATCTACAGTTTTTATGTATACTATTTTATTATTAAATTCTATAGCTGCAGTTTTGGTATCTACATTAGCTACTTGGGACTTTTGTAATTTTTTCCTACATTTCATATACTTTTTATATATCTACATTTCTATGGGAAATTATTCACATAAAAGGTTCACATTTGTTATAACCTCATTGGTAATGAAATTGACTCTTTTAACACATAAAAAGCTCCACATGTTGGACTTGTCTTTTCCTTACATTTGTAGGATATTTTGCTCATCCATTTCTGTAGTACTATGTTTGAGGTGTCTCAAAGAAGCAGCAGCTAGATTTCACTCTGAATCACTGTAAAGAGTTTCTCTACTTAATAGCAAAGTCTAATCATTCAACGTTTACTATCTATCATGCATGATATGCTCAGGTTTATACATGCCATCTTCCAGTTCTAGGACATTAAAGAAACCCTTCTGGCCATTCATCTTCCTCCCTTAGCCTGTCTGTCCTCACCAAGTGTCTTCCACTCTATATACCACATACATTTCATGGTAACTCCAGCCCCTCAAAGACACCCTTGCGTTGTTTCCAGGACACATGGAGAAGTTTGCCTTCTTTTATCTTCCTTTATTTATTTCAATGAACACCTTGAACCAGAATTAGGCAGGAAGGAGAGTTGAATATTTGTGGCCCAAAAAATCGCCATTTTAGCCCTACATTGGGACTAGTCTTAATTTTTAATGTAATTATACATGTATAAATATTAATACAAGGTAAAATATTGGCATTATTTATTTTCATGGCCAAGATCTCAGTCAAAAAAATAAAAAAACAAACAAGCAAAAAACCAAAATTTAAAAAAAACCAAACAAACAAAAAACGATTGTGTAAATGTTTCCATTATAATGTGCAAGTCTCATCATAAGTGAAACGCAGGCAAATACTTGATTGGAAACGCAAATAAAGATCTGCATGGACATTTATTTGGTAAGAGCAATTACAGGGAATTAGTCCCACAAAACTGATTAAGCGAAGTGGTTATGGGTGCAGCTAGTTACCCGCACAAGGCTTCACAGAGAAAGCGAAGGGCCATGTGAGGTCTGTGCCTCTGACCACAAATTCACGTGCAGGCATGGACTGCATGGGGAACTCGGATTTGCTTTGAAATGTAACACCTCATCACACTGCAGATATCAGGAGATAATAGTAAATAAATGCTTTTCTTATTTTATAGGAATCTAATTTTCAAAGCCTTCCTAAGTTGGCCGAGGAGATAATTCTGAGAGGGTAAACATATGTTTAAATAAAAAAGAAGGACCTATTAGATAGGAAGAATCCTACCAGATTCTCAGGACAAAATTAGGGTCACTTAGTTGAGGATAGAAATGTTAAGTAAATCTATGGCATCAGAAAATTATTAGGAGATGGTGTCTATGCTGGAAATGTTTTAAAACTCTACAATGTATATACTGTTTCCCAATGCCTATTTACTATATTATTGATTAGAAAATTTAAGGAATAAAGTGGAAATGGGCAAACATTGGAAGTCTTCAGTAATAATTCATCCTAATCACATTTTTGCTTCAATTATATATAAAACATTTTGCATATCTATGTAATTATTTCAAAAATAATTTTTAAAAAAACTTAATTATATATATACATATAAGGATAGCTCGTTGGCCTAAATTCTTTCCTTTCTGATGAATGTGTAACATATGTATATGCTCTGGACAAGTCACCACCATGAATAAATGCACTGATTTCAGTACATGGGTTTTAAATGAGCCAATACTCAACTAGCACATTCACCCTGATTAACAGAGGCAGTGAATTCACAACAGGCTCCTTATCTAACAGACTGAAAGGCACTTAGCACGTTACCATTTTGAGAGAGATTCAAAGTTGAAGAACATTCTCTATCTTATGCTTAGACATTTAAAAAGGTGGTTTTGCATTTTCTCCAAAAGTGTAAATCGAGTTTTAGTTTATGACTCGGTTTGAAAAATGTATTCTCAGAAAAATTATTCACACTCTTCTCCAAGGAATATAATTTCTGTTTTTAAATATAAAGTAAGATATAATCAGATACTGTTCCATATCTTATAGATGTTATACTGAAGCACTGATAAATCCATTTTTATGATTTTCTCTCATATTAAAGCAAGTGGAGAAATAAATCTTTCTTCTAAGCAGCACAGAACACAGAATCTATCGGTTATCTTTCTAATGCTTACTTCTGAACTTCCAACCAATATTTTCTTAATAAGGTGGAATAGCATCCTCTTAGGAACTAAGGCCCATAGGACACTCTACCTAATTTGATTCCAGCCTCTATTGCTCACAGAATCCTTTCCGTGCCTCAGTTTCCTCATTGGGAAGTGGGCATAATAACAAAACCTGCCTCCTTAAGTTGTCAGAGATTTTACGACTTAATAGATGATCAGTGCACAGTATAGGGTTTGCTACTTACACATAAGTCTAGATATTAAATTTTTAAAAACCTAGATCTAAATAAGTAAATTTTAAAATACCCTCTAAATCACAAGATAGAATTATGTGAATTTCAAATGATCAACTTAAAATTTTTCTGGTTATACATACGTAGCACTTTGGCATTTTTCCCATCACATTTATATCTACATGCTAGGCAGAGAATCAGTTCATCTGGATAACATAAGCTGCAGGAAAAGATCCCGCATAGATCCCACATAGGTCCCACATAGATCCTCTGAAAGACTGGATCCCTTTTCTAAAGCATTGGTCCAGGAGTCAGAAACGACTCTGAATTGAAAGAGCCACACTGCACAATGGTCGCTAAAGCATCTTGTTCAGCTCAACATCCCTGGGCCCCTCAAAGTCCTTAACAGGAAATGTGGCTCAGGCCATGCTGCCTCTACCCAACAGAGACCTTCTGGACCTGAGCTGACTTCTCCAAGTGCCCCAGTCCTGTAATATTAGAAACAAGCAATGCAATCAAATCACACTGCATGGCTTAAAACCTCAAATAGTTTTCCCTCGCCACTAAAGAAGGGCCAAAGTCTTTCAAACATCACACTACCAGAGTCTTCCTCAGTCTTCTCTCTCCCAGGTGACCCCGTCCTTGTGTCTTTTTTTGTTCCATGTCCACTACCATCCACCTGGCTCTCTCCATTCCATCCATTCTCTTTGCCACGCTATTTCTGGAATTTGACAGCCCAGGCCATACATAGGAGCCTTTGAACTTGAAGATGTCCTATCTGGAGGAGTTTCTCCAGACAGCCACATGGCTTTCTGTCTTACCTCCTTATGTTCTTGCTCAAATGCCCCTTTGCAGTGAGGCCGTCCCTGGCCGGCCCATGACAAACTGCACCCCTGCCCCCCCCCCCCCACACACACACATTCTCAGTGTGCCCTTCCCCTGCTTTACCTTCTACATAGCATCTTACATACTGTCTTTGGTTTGGGGTTTTTGTTTGTTTGCTTGTTTGGACAAGGGGTTGTGTTTTGTTTTGTTTTGTTTTGTTTTGGTTTGTGTGTTGCTTCCTACAACCAAAATACAAGTTTCAAGAGAGGGGACAGCTTTACTGCCGTTGTGGTTGGAGCATTATCATCTAAAGACAATGCCTGGCACAAACTGGGCCCTGGGGAGATATTTATCAAAAACACAATGAGTGCAGAGACGGTGGGTCCACTTATTAGCAACCTGGAAAAAGTTGAGGGTGTTGGGGTCTGCTTGAATTTGAACTGAGTCTTCCACTGATCAATCTATAATATGTCGCATTTTAAAAGACAGAGTTTGAAAACTGCATGAAGTTAGGTCAGTGGTCCTCCATTAGGGGTGATTTTGCCTCCCTCAGAACTTTTGGCCATGTCTGCAGACATCTTTGATTATCAGAACAGTGGCGGGTGGGCGGATGCTACTGACCTCTAGTGGGTAGAGGCCAGGATTGCTGCTGGGCATCCTGCAATGCCAAGGACAGCCCCACAACAAAGAAGCATCCATCCGAAAATGACAATAGTGCTAAGGCTGAGAAAGCCCAAACCTGATGTAGCTGGAGGTAATTTCTTAGGTCTAAGTCAACAGCACATAGATATTGTACAAGGGAAGAGAGTAAGAAAGTCAGTGAACTTGTTGGTGTTACAGAAAGGCCAAATACGCAAAGCTTTTATAGGCAAAACGGGGAGGTTGAAAAAAAAGATAGGAAGTATGAAGCATTCACCCAGCAAGGAATAAAATAGGCTACTAAAGATTTACCTACAAAAACAAGGCAAGAAATGTCAAAAATACGTATAAGAAAGAAAAAGGAAACACATGGGAAGGACAGTCTTTGTTTTTGCCCCTTCAGGTCGCTCTAAAATCCTGCTCCATGTTCCTGTGACATGTGTTCTTTTAGGAATAAGTGACAGAGTTGCAATGAAAAAGGAGGAAATCCCAAATTAGCCTCTCTTCCCCGAGAGCCAGCAGGGCCTGCTGCCGATGGTGCGGAGCATTTGGCAGAAGCCAGCTCTGCAAAGGAGCAGCTGCCTCACCAGTCTCTTCAAGCAACATCAGGGCTACGAGAACTTGGGGAGATATTAGCCAAGCGATCAAAACCAGAAGAGGGGCAGAGAGGCACGGCGTTGGCCCCTCTGTAAAAACCAGTGAGCTGGTCTCATCTCGTGATTCAATTACAGGCTGTTCCAGCTGTGATAGGGCTCTAATAGTGCACTTTGGAAAAATACAACTTTGGGAGGAAATAAATAAAGCCTTATTGACTGGTTAAGACTGCAACAAATTGTATGAATGGCTGGATGAAAAACTGAAATTCTGTCTTCAAGAAGAGTACATGTGGTACAAACATTAATGTATAATTAATAGGTGAATTCAGATTTAAATGTTCCTCCTTTGCCCTTGTTAGGTCATTATTTGCTGCTTTCTCCTCTGAATGTTATAGGGTACACTTCTTTTTTTTTACGGTTTTGTGATTTTTTTATTCTTGCTTATTCTATTACAGCTGTCCCAATTTTTTCCCCTTTGCCCTCCTCTGCCCATCCCACCCCTCGATTCCAGCTCTTAGCTTACTCTGGCATGTTGGTTTTTAGCTGGACTTTGGAAACAGCCCTCTTTTTCCAAGAGAGGCTCTCTGCTTTCTTCCACAAAGCATGTTTTGAGACTGAAAGCAAACAAGACTACTAAAAAGACAAATACAATTTTTGAGAAAAGGATCTTTAGTAGAACTGAGAACTGCGCAGTTACTGGCAATTCACCTCTGAAGAAATGGGTAGTAAGGAGGTCATACAGAAATACAAGTATGTTTCTATTAACCAATGGAAAATCGGTCATAGATAAGCATTCCTCCAAACCAAAGAGGAATTCCCATCTTAAGATGAAAAGTATGAGACTAAATTAAATGACTGGTCAAAATGTTTTGTTTGGTTCAATCCTATTCGACGGACACAGAAAATTGTGCTACTTTATAGCTGAAACTACTGAAACTACTTGATAAGGATAAGGACTAAAAGGGTTGTTTCTTTCCAGAGCTGGAAGGAGTATTTTTCACCCAGGTTGACGAAAACAAAACAACATCAGACCCCAGAAACTTGTCAACTATACAATGACTCACACACTGTGTATTGACAAATGTAACTTACGGACAGCAAGGGGATGGAAACTTTTCCAAGAAAATCAGGGGGTTTATCTCCATCTTCATCAAACACCGTCACTTCCAAAACATCGTGGATATCTTTAATAGGACTGAGACAAGAAACACACCATTTATTATATATACAAAAACACGCACGTGAAGTCGGCCCCGTGAATATCTGAAAACACAGTTTCACTAATTAAGCCTGTATGTCCTTAGAGGATAAAACTACCATTTAATTAAATTCCAAAAATTAAATCAAACTGACTATATTCCCAAACCTTCCATCACCGAAGATTCAGTCATCCATATAAAAAAAGTCAACTTTCTTAACTCTATGACATTTTCCATGTCAATGTGCATCATGAATAGGACTGTTAAATAAGCAGGAGGAATCGAGAATGGGAGACAGAAGGGGAATAGTAAAAGGAGAGTGATTTCCACGTAGCTTCCAAGTGAGAAGAGCAAAAATAAGACTGCATCTAAATTAATGAAGAATTTACTTAAAAAAATGATCAAAATCACTATTTGCTGAGGTCCCTGGGAAGCTTCCTATCAATGAAATACCACATACTAAAAATCCCATCATATTTAAAATATTTTTTATGTTTACCCGAAGCCTAACATCAGCTACAGTGAAAACTGGAGCCAAGCTGTGGTCCTTGGAAATATCTTCAGCAAATAAGAGATTCTGCCATGAGCCCATCTGCAGACCTGCTTAGCAGAGAGTTCACCCACTTACGGATCCTTGGGAACCGTCTACTTGGGAACCATTAACACCATTAAACACCAACTCTATTCTTTCTGTTATAAGCCAGACAGAGCACTTCTTCTGTCTTGTGAAGATAGAATGCCACCATTTATTTTACCCTGATTCGACAGGGGCCACACCTGGATGCTTAGGTGCCTCAGAATCTATGGCAAACTAGGGAATACATTCAGCCTCCTAAATGCCTGAGTTTGAAAGTGCACAGGGCATCACTACGGAGCATTTCATTCAGATTAGCTGGAATGCAAGGAGCCTTTGGGAGTATTTGAGGAATCACAGATAATCTTTTTTTTTTCCAAAAGACTGGCAGAATATAAGCCTTCAGGCCTTAAAATAATGATGTAATATATAAGCTTCTTGAATTTAAGGTGGGTCTGTGTTTGTAATTTTCTTTAACCCAGAAATGAATCCATCTGCATATAGGGCAGCTTCCATTTACTCACAGATTAATTTAGTCACTAAAAGATTGGCTTTATATGCCTCTTTTAACACTCCCATGCAGTTCCAAATGGTCTCTTCTATTATTAACACTAAAGTCTATAAAAATGAAAGGATAAAAGGTTTTCAGAAGAAAAAAAACAATAAAATTCATTCTTGGCACATAAAAATGGACAGAAAGTTCCACTCAAAAGCCTAGGCTGCCCCAAACATATCAGGGAAAACTGGTCTCTACGTTCAAGCCACCCTCCCCGCCACATATTTCAGAAGCTAAAGCACTCACAATGTAAAAACCTTGTTCCACTCGGGGTTGAGGGTTTTGTAAATGGTATGTGTCTGAAGGCGGTCATTGCCTAACTCCAGCAAGCAAAAAGGGTCACTCTTCCCTGGAAACAGAACACAGACATTGGTCAGAGACAAATGAATCTCAGAAGCGACAGAGGCCACGTGGTCAGAAGCCACATGCTTCTCTAACATTAAAACCGTGCTGGCTGGAAGAACGAAGGGGTGCCCTCTTTCCAGCAAGCCACGCAGAAGCCCTGTGGGGGAATTCGGGAGAAGAACAGGTCCTGAAAGTGTTGAAACTTTAACATCATTAACAGATCGGGGCAGACACTCAACCCAGGTGCAGCCTGGAGTGCCCATGACCACACAGGTGTCTAGAAGCAGGTGTTCACTTGCCATGTGTGAAAGCACACCTTCAATGGTTTGTTTCAAAACAGTAGCTCATCTCTGTTTCCCTCCTGGATTCCTTTTGAGTTAATACAGATCAGTGCTCTTCTACAACCCACAGCCTACGATACCTTAGAGGCTTGTGTACGGTGTGAGAGAAGCGAGAAAAAGCATGAACGTGGCTATTTAGGGGTTAAAACTGCTTTGGGATAAGTGTCCACAAACATGTATGGTCCCTGGATACTTAGGACATTGTGAGAAACTATGCAACATTTTTGGTGCTCACATACATGCAAAAGTATAATTCCCAAAAGTCAGCTCAAAGTTTTTACCTTAAAAAGAAAAATAAAGCTTACCCCTTACTTATTTCACCTCACCTTTTTTTTTCCCATCCTATCTCACACAGCTTCCAAAAGAAAAATAAATAAATAAAGATGGTGAGAAAACCCCAAACCCAAAGCTGGACCCAGAAAGTCACCACGTAAAGATTCTCTCCCCTGATGCTGGGTTTGCCAGGAAGATCCAGAAGTGCAGCTGTCAGGGAAAGAATGAATGGCTCTGTAATGTCCGTACGACAGGAACACATGGCCCGCCGCCGCAGCTCACTGCAATTTACAAAGCAGCGCGCACTAAATTAATTGGGGGCATGAGGACAGATGCTCCTCCAGCAAATGGCCAAGGAGATCCAGGCCAGGGCCTAATGCAGAGAGTGCTCAGGCCTCTTGACCTGCTGGCCGACCAATTAGGTCGCTGAACTTACATCTAATGCACTTAATAACCAGAAGATACTGCACATCACTAGAGAGACTGACATGTGAGGAGCCTGCAGGAAGATTATATTTTTTAAAAGGGAGAGAGAGATAAGAAGAGCAGATGCATGGCTAAGGGTCAGCCTGAAACAGGAGATTCCACACAACTGACTAGAGGCCTGGATGCTTAGATGCCTGGCTGGAGCTTGTAAGTCAGTGCTATGATCACGGCCAGTAGGCAGTGATCAAGCCGTGGACATAAATGGATGAGTTTGCGCTGTCAGTCACAAACAACGAAAATGGCCCCTGGCTAAAAGTAGCAGAATATGCATTCATTAAAATAATATTAAATGGCTCTCAGAATCATTGCAAACATTCCCTGATCAGGCTTGAGGAAGCACTTGAAACCGAGAAGTGCTTAGGAAGACACAGGCACTAAAATCTCAGTTCATAGGTCACACTGGGAAATGTCTGGCATGGCACCTGCTTCCCAAGGCAATGGACCCCACAGGCACACCTGTCTCTGGAGCTTGAGGACAGTTGCCTCCAATATGAGTTCCCTGTGTCTGCTTCTGCCTCACTTGATGTCAAGGCCTCAGAGGGGGCATCTGATTGCTTCTGCCCAGCCAAGCACCCGTGCCTTAACTACCAGTGCTCAGAAAGGGAGGGCAGGCTCCTCAGCTTCCGTGAATGAAAGTGGGCTCTGAGCCCTGCTCCAAAACATACCATGGGCACCGCCCCATCCTACAAGGGGGTTCAGATGTTAGACAGCCCAAATCTAAAGGATGCCAAAATGCATCTGTAAAGTTCTTGCTTCTACAAAGACCGCTTTACTCTGGGAATGATTTGCAGGGCATGCAGTAGGGAGGAATCCGCCAGTGTTCAAGAACACACTGTCTCAACGGCCATGAACATGAGACAGGGTACATGCTCTGGGCTTAATGCTGACATAGATGATGCTGGCTTCCTTAGCCCAGGCTGAAACAGCTACTAAAGCGTTTCTCGGAGACTGTTAGGAGGTGTCAGAGCAGCTCCTCCAGAGACACCAACGTGACATTTCATCAGCACTTGCTCCGGGGAAACCATCGGACACTTTTAATGAAAGCCCCGTGGTGACTGGGCAGCAGGGCAGCGATGGGCAGCCTGTGGTACACGGCCACAGGTGGACATGAGCTGTGGCTCCTGCACACTCAGCTGTCCCAGCTAATGAGGACCAGACTTCCTCCTAGAAACTGGAAGCTTCAGCTACGTGTCTCCATAGAACACCCGGCACCAGCACTCTCTGAAGATAATTCCATCAAAGCTCATTAAAATGCTGCATTTATTAATATCACAGAATAAACAGGCAGAGAGTAGGAAGAAGGAACAAAGACATTTAGGCGTTTCTAGAATACTTTATGGATTGATTTCTTTCCCCCCAAAGTTTCCAAATATAAAGGGCCTTTCCATAAAATTTCAATAACAAGTACTTTTACTTGGGATAAAAATTATTTCCCATAATAAATGAAACACCCAAATGTTCCCCAATGGTACTGAGCAAACACCCCCAGGCAAACTGACATGTACACACTCGGGTCTGCACTTTCCTCTTTGCTCCACCTATTTTTGCAGATAAAACAACTCGGTGACCTCTTCTGCATTTGGAAGCCAAGTCACCTTGACATGGTCACACCACTGGCGATTGAGTTTCACGGTGTTTTAGCACCTTGCACTCAATAGCCTTTCCTATTTCTGACACCACTTAAAAATCCATTTACATTCCTTGAACGGCAAGTAGAGGTTTCTCATTTAAATAATTTTACCTTTATATGAGTTACAGAAGTCGAATGACAAGTCATAAATGCATTTTAGAGGTCATGTCGTTCATCTGACCGATATTTATTAAGCATGCACTCTGCTCCTGGCACTGAACCAGGCCCTGATGGACACACGCCACCAGGTCATTACCTTTATAGCGCTCTCATAATAATCTCTGCTTTTTTAGCAAATGTCACCTTTTCCATGAAAACTTCCCTCATGTCCCCACCAGTGGACTAGGTACTCCCATCTTTGATCTCTATTTCCTTATATCTCTTATATGCCATATCTGTGCATTTCTGGTCCCTATTTAGCCCCATATTTTATCGAAGGGGACCCATGCAGGTAAACCCAACATATGAACATCCCTACCACCCCTCTGAAGAGTGTCATGGTCCAGTGACACAGGATGACAAGGACATTCCTGGTTCCTGGTGATGGCGTTGGCTGGAGAGAGCCATGCTTCAGCCCACTCTGGGCAAGACTCTGTGCTGGACTCGGGTTCTCGTTTAATCCTCTAGGAGGCTAGGGACGTTGGTGCAGAAGAGGAAACTCAAGTTCAAGGAAATTTAATTTGGCTGGTTAAAGTCCACAAAGAATTCATCGTGGAAGTGGATTTAAAGCAAGGTTTAGGAGAGGACTGATTTGGTTAGCAGAAATGGGCAGGTCATTCTAAATGAGATGGGGATAGATCAAAGCCTTAAATTTATTAACAAGACAGATAGATAGATAGATAGATAGATAGATAGATAATAGACGTGAGACAAAATTTCTTGAGATATCAACAACAGTAGGTTTAATAAGTGCTGTATCTACATCCTTAGGTGGAAGTAAAAATAATTTGCATTGTAAAACTGGAAGATAACTCTACACATGCACTAGTGATAACAAAATTACTAATACCAAAGGCACATGAGAAATGTTTGAATTGTTTTCATAAGTCAGTATAATACTATAAATATTTCCAACTAATTAATAGCTGTTAGAAATAGTCATTTCAATGTTTTTTTATCTACAACCCTGATAAATTATATATTCGTATTGGCCAAAATTAAATTTTTGGATTTTTCACTGGGTATTTCCTTAAGGTCAAGATCATCTTCTTTTGGAGCTTATAAAGAGGTAATTTCCATAGTTTTATTTTCTGAGGGAGAGGGAGAATTTTTTTTCTTAAACAAAGTTAATGTTTTCCATCATTTTTGTAAAGCGCTTAAAATTAAAATTCTCTTTTCCAAAGTTTGAGCTTCCTCAAACTCAGTATCAAAAGTTCAGAGGTTACATAAATTCAGTATAATTATTTCTGCTGGAGGAAGAGAGAAGACAGCATTCTAAAACCATGAGAAAGAAATAAACATGCAATACCACGTCAATAGAACCATGCTGTATATAATATTCTTTGTATTCATCAAGTTACTTGGTAAAGAACACCTGTCTTGCAGGTGTCTAAGTTGTTAGTTGGTACAGGGGGGTGGTTTGGTGATGGGTGGAGAGTCGCCCGCCATTCAGACACTGGAACGTCCGGATTTCTCCCTTCCCAGTCAAGCATAGTTCAGCACAAAGCATGTCTATTCTAGCCAATGTCTGAAAGTTTCAATTAGTGAAGCACCAAGAAAAGCCTTGTGGAAAACAGTGTTAGTTACAAACGCTGAGTGTGGCAGCTGATTTGACACACTTCTCTATAACAGTAACCCAAAATCTTGGCCATGGAGCCACTTTGCCGCTGACAACATTTTATACACATAATAAGATTCTGTCTGATTGGTTGACTCTTGGTACCAGAAATCCTTATATACGAGTATAGGCACATGATATTTTAAAAAGCCACTTTGGAGCAAAAAGAGTAAGTAATACATATTTTTTGCCAGGTTGGCAAAAGTATATAACATTTTTTGGTCTACTGCAGAATTTTAGTGATGAGTTATGCGTACCACGAGATGAGAAAGGTTGAAAATCACTGCTCCATTTGGAAGAGCGTGATTGCTGTGTACATGCATCTACTTATGAAGACATTTTGCTATGCCATAGATCATGTCAAAGAGAGAGACAGGTAAAAATTAAAAAGGAATGAAGATGTTATGTACCTGAAAAGTCTGCAGCTAAGAGGTCCACTGCCTTCAAAACCTTCACTTGTACAATGCCGATGTCCTTCATATCTCTCAGGGAGTTCTGTAAGCTCTGAAGGGGAGAGAAACATGGATCACAAATGAAAACAGCTTTCTAACGTACCATTTAATGACACAAAGTCCTAAAGGAAGAACATTCGGGGCCGATTGCCACCTTTCTCATGTAAGGCTTAGAAACATTCGCAAAGGGCATCATATCCGTCAACAGGACAGTTAGGTTTTGACAGCAACCAGATTAAAAGTGACTGAGAATTAATTAACTACAGCCTCAAAAGAAACACATTACAAACACATACAATCAACTTTTAGCATCGCCCCCTGGTGAAAGCGCAGGCATCCCACCGGGAAAATATGTGGGCAACCACATTCCTTCTCCTTTTCCCCTTCTTTCACTTTAATGAAACTTTTAAATCACCCAGAAAGGCACCATTATTCTGACCTAGTTTGTGCGAACTTTATGGATACCAGAGGACTCAACTTGGACCCTCTGCGGATACTTATTAGCACGGCAAACAGAGTCGGGAATGGAAATAAGAGTGCGTTTCTGGTCCATGCTTTAGCTAGCTCATTAAATCGGAGATTGAGCATCAAGTATCACCTTTTATTCACATTTATTTTAAGGCTTACTTTGCATGAGCCAAAGCTTCAACACAGTAGGACAAAAGTAGGCTTATGGTTGTGACTACGTGAAACCGTTTATTCTTGTATTATTATTTAATAATTACTGTATTATTTTCAATATGAGCAACTGTAAATCTACTCTTGCCTCACCTACTGATATATTAAATTAGTAAATATATATTCAATGTATCTATTAATTCTTAAGCAGGTGTAGCAATCTTTAGATGTCTATGTAGTTTGCATCCTTCAAAAACTGAGATAGAAGAGATATAAGCAGATAAATTCTCTTTAGATGCTTTTATAACATGAGCAGTAAAAGAGATGCCACTTTTGATACCATTTTTCTGCCATCATCCAATAACTAAAAACCTGTGATAAGCAGACCCTGGGGGTTTATGGAAGGGTAGAAAAACCCTTATTACTGAGGCATTTGGAGTTAAAATAATAAAAGCTTCATAATCATTAAGGTTTGCTTAACCTTTTTTGTACCATTACAAATGTACTATTCTTAGAAATAGTACATTTCTAAGAACTTTCGAAAAGTGGTTTCTGCTCTGTATTTTCAACCTAAAAAATACCAACAAAAAATAGTGTTTAAGTTTAAATGAAAATAATTTAAGTAAAATACTTTTCAATGTAGAGGTGGAAATGCTTTTGAAGGTTTGTCTATTCTCACAACCTAAAAAACAAATCCAGGCATCTGAAACTTGTATCTTGTAATATAGTGTTTCCCTCTTAAACAGGCCAGCCAGCTTGGTAACTGGAAAAAAAAAAAAAACCTTGATGCTTCTATGTTGATTAGTCTTTCCAAATCTCTTTTCAATTAGTGCTCTGTGAGTCCCAAGGCATTACTGAAAGTAGTCACCATGATTTTCCTAGTGCCACTTTATCAATATGTGACACTCCTCAGGAATTTGGTAAAATGTGCAATGTATCCATTAGAAAAATGTGGAGAGAAGTTTTATTTCTCATCACCAGCTTTTCATTGGCTTCACTAAAGCCATCAGAAAAATACGAACAGTGGGTTCTGTCAAAACATCTTTAGAGTATGCCAACCTCGTACAAAGAAATTTGTGTTCACGATAAGATGTGTGGCTGGGTTCTGTAATCCTGGAGACAAAGAGTTTTTCAATTAATCAACATGCCTGTCCAGGGAAAGCTTTGGAGGCACTAGAGTTTATGCTGAGAATAACATTCCCATTAAATAAAGATTCATCTTTGCTTCATTTTTATGCCACGTTCCTAAAGCATGTCTTCCACGTGTGGCAATGAAATAAACATATTGATTTGCACAGAAGATGCGCTAAAAATGGAATGCAAATCAAGACACCTAGAGAGCTGGAGCAGGGAAAAAAACAAGTGAAGATGACAAAGCTATTTGATTTACAAGGGCTGAGGGGACTTCTAAGCACATTGTACTACTTAGACAAAAATCTCAGACTGCCAACATTGTCCCAAGGGGCATAGAACCACAGTCTTCTGGGCCTGTCAAGGGCCCAGCTTTGCTTTATAAGACAGCAGCATTTCTCACTTAAACCTAAAAGGCTCTGGAAAAGCATCGATAACGTTGCAAACACGAATGGTTGCTTAAAAAGAACGACTTTTGTGAACTTCTGTTTAAAGTCCTATTCCCATATGCAGACATGCTACCCAGTAGGTGGCCTTCTTGAGAACTTCGATTTGCTCCAAAAAGTACCTAACACTGTAAGTTCAAAATACTTCTGGTGGTTTGTAAAAGAGCAAGAAGGTAAACTCTAATCTGCTTCTACTCTCTCATTAACGCACCAATCCCTAGATCTGATGTCTTGTTTTATGAGGCACACCATTAAACTTGGGACAAAGGTCTCTTTTTATGCAGTTTCTCGATTCATAGACCTTGGTGCAACTTAAAGGTGGCGGAGCAAGTGGGAACGGTGTAACAAAGCGAAGAACTCACATAGCGCTGGGTGATCTGCTTTCTCTCGCTGGCGTCTGCCAAGGGGCACACACACAGATCAGAGATGGAAACTCCCGCGCAGGGAGTGAGCGTGATCAGCATTAGGAGAGCCCCCACGCAGCTGTCCAGGGGCAGCTCCAAGCAGTTAGACTGCTTGAGTGGCAGTGCTGCGATGTCCACTTTACATCTGGAAAAGCAGAAATCAGAGAAAGAAAAGCGGTCAACTCACAGCCACTTTGGAACATCCAAAGTACCCATGTTAATTTCTCACCCCCGAAACCACACCGCGCATGGGTGGTGGCTGGGGCTCCCCTGGCTCATTACATTCCCAGCCCAACACATTCTGAAGTGAAGGAGAAGAGGAGGGACAAAAGAAAGTGGAATTGCAAATAAAAAGAGGAGTCGGACCATTGACAAATAAGGGCTGTTGAAAGATAAGGAGATCAAGAATTAGGGAGAAGCCCTGGCCGGGTGGCTCATCCACATAGGCCAAGGTTGTGAGTTTAATCCCTGTTCAGGGCACATAGAATAATCAACCAATGAATGCGTCAGTAAGTGGAAGAACAAATCGGTGTCTCTCTCTCTCCCTTCTTTCCCCTCTCTCCTTTTCTCTGTCTAAAAATCAATGAATAAAAACTTGTAAGAACTAGGGAGAAAAAAAGTTTCCTACTTTAAGTATCATGGCTCTGTATGGTTTCTCTGCACTGTGCCTTTTTCCAGCAAAGAGAATAAAGGGTAAAAAAAAAAGAGAGAGAGAGAGAGAAATGTACATGGGAGAGAGTTTATGAAAAAACTATTTTCTTCCAGAAACACACTAACAGGTGAGTTTTTATTTAAAGAAACACGTTAAGGTGTTTTCCAACTAGGCCCGGTTCCATGGGGTTTCCTTTTGGACAAATGGAGCATGAAGTGCTGTTCAGGATCCCACTTCGAGGCACTAAGGAAAGGCTGTCCACATTTGCTATAAATTGTGTGTTTTCTGCCTCTTAACAGCTCACGTTCTGGGGATGTTGAAAACTTCAAACACATTTAAATACAGAAGCAAACACCAATAACGGGGGACCGAGGTGCTAAGCGCTTATTTGCTTTCACACGGAAAACTTGGGATTTGCCTGGGCCACACCTGCTTTCTTGGTGCGTAAAAGGGTGGAGGAGAGGGAAGGACGGACTGTGTGCGTAATTCTTCCTTGTCCTCTGAAGCTATTAAGTCAGATGAATATTTAAGACTTTATAAAAGGATGAAAGCACTGCTCCTTCTCATAATGTGTGACAAGGATGGATTCTTACCCTAAATTTTCAGTGGACTTGGTATGTGTGCAGATAATTAGAAATAGTAAACTCACCTGATAGACTATAAAGCAATGACAATTTTGAGCCATATGGATTTGTAAAAAGTTCCAGTTTAATAAAATTGAAAGTAAGCTCGTAATCCCTTCCCAATTAAAAGGAAAAATATCAATAGTATTGAAAGTCTATACCATTTTTTATTAGAGAATAAAAAAATAATTTAATACTGACAGGAATGTATAAAAATTAAACATAGGTGGGTATTTTCTAATTAACACAAGTGATTCAAGTTACAAGAAGAGGTGGCAATTAGACATCAGAGTTTTTGCATGTAATAAATCCATTATGTATTTCTACTGAAGGCACATTACAAAAAATATGTCTTTTTACATAATCCTGTATGACTTGAATCAAAACAAATTTTTCCTGGAGCGTATTGAAAGTTAAAGCTTACTGTTGTGCAAAGAGAGGTTACAAACTATTTTTTATTTAATAAGCAAGCACGGAAGTGGGGGATTAATTTTGCTTCAAAAGAAAGTTCCGGGGCTTTAACTCTGCCATTTCTGTAAAACTAAGTACCCACAAATCCTTAACTGATACGGCAGTAATGCATCTATAATGCAGGAATACTTGGTTGAGCATTATTTTATATGGTCACATGCCCTTTCCTTTAATAAAACTCTTATGAAAAAATGAAGGCTCCAAATCTGTGAGAATTTTCTCTAACGATCACTTTTTTCCTCACAAATTAGCAATAACCTCTTTAAGGCACATTCATTTTAATATCATTAATAATGGAAATTTACTTTTGTCCTAAGTGTACCATTTTGTTATGGTGGTGGTTTTGTTGGTTTTCTTAACCAACAAAAGTTATTTCGAGGTAAGAGCTCAGAGAGCAACTAATTTGTGTGAGTCACAATGATGCGTCATGAGGCGACAAGAGAAATGTTTGTAGATCATTCAAAATGGTCATGACATTAATCCTGAAAAGTTACCTAAGAAGACTGAGAGCCCTAGTAACATATCTACAATAACTTTGCCAACTCTCCTAGTGATTGCTCAAAGCCGCAACTTACTTGTGCAGAGCAGTTTCTTATTTTAAACAAATGCTAAATCCTGTACCAGATGAAATGCACAGCCAATACATTTTCATGAACTTTCAGTCATTGCCACCCACTGGGAGACTTTTGCACCTATTTCGTTTTTAAAGGTTATTCAGCTAATGAAGAAAAAACACCTGCACAATATTATCTATGAAAGAGGCAGAGCCCTATAAAGAACAGACTGGGGGTTTCAGCACAGAATGAATGGCATTTACAATCTCAGTTAACTAATGAGTGATTTCAGCCTGATACTTTCTTTTAATTTCCTAGGGACTCGAGGAAGCAAATTAAATTGATGGGTCTCAGCATCCTGGCCTTTGTTGCAAATACTCAACCTTCCCCACGTAGCGCAAAAGCGGTAATAGACAACATAGACAAACGAACTGCTGTTTCTCAATAAAACTTTATTCGCAAAACAGGTAGCCATCTGGATGTGGACCAGGGACCCTAATTTGCTGATGCCTGCCCTAGAAAAATGCTGATCATTAAGCTATGCTGAATTATGCCAATGAAAGCATTTTAAAAATGGACAAGATTGGTTGCTGACAGAACAAACATATTGATAAACATATCAGAAATATTGACATAAGAATATTTTTAAAGATTTTATTTATTTATTTTTAGACAGAGAGAGAGAGAGGAGAGAAACATGAATGTCTGGTTGCCTCTTGTTCACCCCTCCCACTGGGGACCTGGCCTGCAACCCAGCCATGTGCCCTGACTGGGTTCTCAAGCCGGCGCTCAATCCACTAAGCCACACTGGCCAGGGCATTTTTAAAAAATAACTTTCAACTCACCACAGCCTAAGAAATCCTGGCCAATCTATTCAACTATGTGGATGTAAATTTTTTAAAAAATGATAAAGCAATAAAACTTATGAAATTGCTTTTCTACCTGAAAGATGGATGTGGAAAACATGTGCGCAGAGGATCCACGTAAAAAAAATTGAGATTAATTAGCATTGGCAAATTAGGTCTGTTCCAGAGGCATCGGGTATGAGTTCAGGGACAAGGGCAGTGACCGCATCTCACACTCATTCAGAAGGTGCTACACAAGCTTTACATCATGGGGGGCAAAAATGGCAGAGTCGCTGATAAGCTTGTACCTGGAGAGGAGCAGCCATGGTTCACCTGCAGGAGATGGAAGCCGGCGGTGCTGAGGCTTCACTCCCACTCTGCTCTCCAGTCTCATCTTGGGATGCCACCCACCCTTCCCATTCCTTTCAAGGGTCTTAGAATGTGTTCCCCTCCTCTCTAGGCCTTTGCCCTTGCTGTCCCACGTTTCTGGACAGTTCTCCTCTAATCTCCTTGTTGGGTGAATGACCTCCCATCACACAGGTCTCATCTTAAACCTCTTTTCTTGCAGAAGGTGGACTCTTTCTGCCCCTAAGCCACTGCCTGCTTACCTGTGTAGCCCAAAACTCACTAAAGGCTGAGGACAGGACCCACATCTGTATCATTTTATACTGAACCCTCAGCCCTTTGCAAGTTGTCTGACACTTGATGGGCTCCCTCTTTGTTGAATAATATGAACAAACAAAAAAATAATAAATTCCAGTGGTGTAACAAAACTCAAAGCCAAAATATCCAAATTATAAAGGCAGTGTTTTTGGTTAAGCAATGAAATCTTTGGCAATCTCTATTTCCCCCCATATATAAGGAAGGAATGGAAAGACATAGTTTCAACTAGGCTCCTCCCAGACTGATGGTTCTATTCACCTGAAGAAAACAAGGCTAAATTACTTTTTTTTCCCCTCTGCAACAGGCATATATTAAAGCTACCCTCGGGAGCCAACAGGCAGTTAATGTGCTGATATAGCATTGTTTCTGACCTCCTGTGCGCGTGTCTTTCTCCATTAATCCCACAGCATTTTAATGTTTTAATTCAACACATAATTTTACCATATCAGTCAGCCCAACCTGCTCAAGTTTCCCTTGCCGTGATAGCTTTTAACCTCTTATTCATTACCATAATTCTATGTTTTATATTACAGACTGGTCAGCTTTTAACTTAAATGCAAGGGGCAGAAAAGAGTGCTATAGTTTTAAAAGCTGTAAATCTCACAGGCTAAGGAAGGGGGTGAACAGGAAGAAAATGGTGAATGTGTCAAGCGTGGCTGTAAAAGCAGATCAACGACATGGAATGCAATTTGTCCAGAGAAATATTCCAGCCCCGATTCTCCAAGGCGTCAGAGTCACTAATAAACCGGTGGAGTGTCAGGGCCCCTCTCTAAGTCACCCTGCGGGGCTGAGGACACAGGCTCTGAGGCAGCCCAGTTTGAATGGGCTGGAGCATTTTCATTCTTAAATTTTCCAGTCTAAATGAAGTGTAGGAGATTCTATAACAGGTTAATCTGTAGAGTCACCTTGATATGTAAGATATGCATTGAGAAAATGATATGATTACTTTGAAATGGAACAGCTTTGCAATGGAAGAGTCTATAACTTATATTTTTGTGATTTTGTTTAAAAGCAGAAGCAGCTTAAACTTAGCTCCAGATCTTACTTCCCCTAAAACTTCACTCTTTCTGGACCACTGATGGGCTCTAGAATCAAAGACCGACCTTCCTTCCTTCCTTCCTTCCTTCCTTCCTTCCTTCCTTCCTTCTTTCCTTCCTTCCCTTTCTTCTTTGCCTATGAGTAAATCTGGTTTCAGGGGGAACTGCCCAAGCTCCTTCATCTCACCAGCAACCAGCACTGACCTGCTCAGGAGTCACCCGTGGCTCATGTGGCAGGTGCACCATGACACAGCAGGGTTTCAGAAAGCCCCACATGATTTGGGAGAGCTTAGAGGAGGCTGAGTGACAGGCAGGTCCATGTTTTCATTGTCACCAAGCTAACAACCCACCAATGCTAATGTGATTTCTCTATACACACCCGCCCAGTACCCCAACTTTTTATCCACAGCTATAGACCCCAACATTGTTCAAATTAATGTACACTGCTCCATCCCTCACTCAACAAATATCTATACTACCATGATCTTGGAGAAATTCACTGCTCACTTCTACAGAGGAAATTAAAAATGTTTATCCTGTGTTGGAAAAAACAAGGTACAGAATTTTACTCATCATACTTCATGTACTTAAATTGCATAATTTTAGTGGCAAGTGTTGTAACTATAGTTGCCATACAGAGAAATCTCAAGATGAATAGTAATAGCAATGTCTACAATTTCAGGGCTCAAAAAGACCTAAGTACCCAATAAACATTGTTGCTGGGAGTCACGATGACCCTGCAGTTGGCCAGCGGCCTGGCCACACAGATAGGGAACTAGATTGCACAAGCAAGTTCACAGCCCAAGGTCACCTAGCTACAAACGCTATGGCAACCAGCAAGCCCAGGATGTCCAACTCAAGGGCTGGTGTTCCTTCCTTCGTGTCAAGCTGCCTGCAAGGGGAAGCTCCATGGACACGAATTTCCTCAGAGAGGTTATTAGAGCTTTAAATTATTGCATCAAGGTGTTGTTCAAAAACAAACTTTGGGACAGAGAGGCCTTAGAAGACACTTAGGACTCACACTGTCAAAGGGACTCCTAATGCAAAAAGGCATTTCCCAACATTCGGGAGAGCAAATAACTGAGCCTTCGAATTACAACAACAAAGAAAAGAAAATATCATTTTCAGCTCTGGCTGGTGTGGCTCAGTGGATTGAACGCCAGCCTGCAAACCAGAGGGTCACTGATTTGATCCCCAGTCAGGGCACATGCCTGGGCACATACTGGGCCAGGTCCCCAGTAGGGGGCGTGCAAGAGGCAACCATACATTGATGCTTCTCTCTCTCTCTCTCTCTCTCTCTCTCTCTCTCCTTCCTTTCCCCTCTGTCCAAAAATAAATGTAAAAATCCTTTAAAAAAAAGAATATGAGAAAAAAGTGTGAATTTCACCATAAGAAGGAAGTGGTAAGGAACAGGTCTGTGGTATGTGTACGCTAGCATAATCTCTTCCACACTGGGAGAATCGGTACCTATTTTCGGCTAGGTCTCACCCCACCTGGAAGTTCAAGGCAGGATAATGCTGTGTAACCAGCTCCCGAGAGATAACTTTTGTTATCTTTTGCACCGCAGGAGAGGAAAAAGGAAAAGGATACTGAAAAAAGCTCTAACATCCATGAAGAGAAAGGACAGAATGACCGCGGGCAGGTATACATCTAAGCTACAAACAGGAAATAGCTAAATAAGAATAAATAAACACCCAAATGACAAGACACGAAATGAAAGGAACATCTTAAATTAGTTTCTGTGTCTGTGAAGAAATTCAACACTCATTGGGAAATGCATTTCCTATTATGGGGGAGGGGAGGGGACAGCACAGTGTCCCCTCTGTGCGGACAGCACAGTGACATGTGGAGTGAAGGGGCATTATTCAACGTTCCTACTAAAATAACACGGGGGCCATTCATCACGGGAGGTCCAAATCCCCACTATTCAGATAACACTTCGGGACTTAGAGTTCTCTGCATCTGCACATTGATGTAACTGATCCTTACTCCACAGGCTAGCAAAAAAATTCCTGATCCTCCTACCAATGGGTGTTGGCAGGGTACTGGTATGTCACCGTGGTGACAAGTGTCAGAGGTACTCAGAAGTATATGAGGTGTCTCAGTTACCCTGAGGAGATGGAGGAGGGGGAGGTGAGACCAGACCAGAAATCAGACAGGTAGCAGCTGTGAAATGCTGGACCACAATTCAACCTCCTGCATGAGCCAGAGAGTGTGGCAGGACCTACCTCAGGGTGAGCTACTGGGGTGAGACAGGTCATAAAAGCAAGAAGAGCTAAGAGTCTGGGTGCCAGACACTGTGCTAAGTATCTCACACAGAAAAAGCCCTGCATGGGGTTTGGGGTAAGCTTGGGACTCATCTCATTTCTGCCTCTAAATTCTTTGCTGATGGAAAAAAATTTCATTTCCCTGGGTCTTTGTATTCCCTCGTCTGTAAAACGAAGAGATTATACTACATGAGTGGTTTTTGATCTTTAGTTTTCAGCCATAAAACTTTTCCTCCCAATGGAACCCCAGATGTGCTGGCTCCAGGGGAAAATTTCCGGAGACCCCCTCCATCTCCAAGGGGTGACCCCAAGGCATCTCCCTGAAAGTGGGGTTTCGGAGATCCTAGCTTGACAAAGATGACAAACATTTGTTGAAAGCCCTTTAAATGCTTATTTTCTACAAAAAATGATTTTTGGACATGTCAGGTATATAGGAGAAGAACGAAAGGCAGCGAATTGGTGCAAAGAACCTGGAGTTTGGAAACATAGACCCCTGACCCTGATGCTCGCTGCTCTGAAGCTCTGTGGCCCAGTTGCCTGTAAGGGTCCCACAGTCCACGTCCCCATCCGTACAAGGAGGACAGTGCCGCTAACTCACTGGCTAGTCCGAAGATCGGACACAGCGATGCTTCCACCGGCAGCATTTCCTCTGTGCTTACTGTGAGTCAGCCACGACGCAAGGACAACTGAACTTCACTGTACGCTGACTACTCTCCTATAAGGAAGCTATAATACTCAGTATTGTTCATTAGGTAAGAGTCAATTCAGTGGGAAGGGCAAAAAAATACAGAAATAAAAGCAAACAGAGCTGGCCTCCAGAGAGTTCATTATGGTTGGCCACCAAGTTCATCAAGAACATTTTCCATCATTTTGGGACACCTGACATCCTATTTTTACTAAATTACACAGTAGTTCACTAACTAGGAAAACCAAAATTACATGGTGCATAGGAAGTATAGATAACCAGTTCCCAAATAGCCTGGCATGGCGTGTTATCTTTCTTCACAGGATTCCTGAAACGTACTACTTCCTTCCATTTTAATCAATTCTGCATGGCATTTATTAGGTAAAAGAAAAAAAACTTCCCCCAGATTAGGGTCCAGCTTACTCCTAACTCCCTGGGGTGGGGACATGAGATCTGACTCTACGCCCAGCAGAGAAAGACCAGCCTGGTGCAGAAAGCCCGCACGCAGCTCCCACCATGGAGAAAGCAGAGCGGACTCACGTGCCCAGACGCTCCTCGTGCTTTTTGCTGTCCTTTCCCCAGACTTCAATGTCCAAAATGCCCATCCTGTCAGAGAAGTAGTGAAAGTCAAACTCTTCCCGCCACTGCGGATTTGCACTCTTACACAGTGTCTAGAAAACATGCGGTTATAATATTTATTTTCTTCAAAATGCCATTCATTGTGACAGCAGCTACACATTCATTTCATTTCTAAATTTTGCAGCAGGAGAAAATGCACCTCTCTGTCCCTCACAAAGTTGAACCCTCCTTTTTTGGAAGGAAAGGGACTCAGAGGTTTTGGGAACTGGCAAAACATTGCCACTCTTTTAGCTGATTCTCAGATTTAATCATTTATCCACCAAATTAGGAAGAATACTGTTACCCCACAAGAAATTATAACATGTATATATGTACACACACATATATATATATACACACATACATAGGACATATCTCAGTGGCTGTTTTAGACATTTGTTCAGTCTTACAGAAACTACCATTCATTGGTTAATCAAATCATTTTTACTGGCACATTCATTCAGCACTGGCTTCAGAACTATATAAATTAACAGTTTGGGGTCTTGATTAAATCCGTCAGATGCATTACACAAGAAACCCATCTCTTGTACATGGCCGCCTGCCTTTAAATCCCAGTTTACTGATCCCAGTCCCGGGAGTGCGAGAAAAGACTGCAGCCAACTTCAGAAATTAACAAGCGTGGCTGGAGGACGCCACGAGTGTTTATGTGTTCTCCGAGAGTGATTTCAAACTGCTCGTGTGTTTGATTTGCTGGCAGGATGTTCGTTTTTTGTTTCGTTTACACAGAGATTCAATTAGTGACTAAAAAGTGAGCAGAAATGTTGGTTCCTGTGTACCAGGCCCTAAGGACACAGCGGCCACTGTTAAATCTTAGTGACCACTATGACGTCATGGGAAAACAGACAGGGCCAAGTCAGACCTCAGCTGTAGCATCGTTTAAGCTGTTTTTCACATTGGACTTAACGTATCAGACCACAGAATTTAGAAACCATGGGAAAAAAAAAGAAAAACCTATTAGACCACAAATTAAATGCAATATCCCTCAAGGGGTAATGGAGCAGATATAGGACTAATTCTACACTTCACCTTAGTCCAAAGGGCTAAGTGTGCCTAGTGATGAATACTTTTTCTATAAATCCGTAGCCCGACCTTGGCTGGCTACAGGAATCTTAGTGGGGATACCCTGGATACACTCTCTGCCAAGCACAGCCTGAAACGACCCAGTTAAAACAGTATCTGCGTATTTCTGCCACAGCCTGCTGTCAGTTTTCCACATCTTTTTTATAAATGATTCTTCAACACGAGCTTTGAATCTCGAGTGCTTGTGCCAGCGTAAATGACGTTTGGTGTTCAATTTTGCACTGCAAACTGCCCGGCGGAGACAACTCCGCGCCTGCTCGGATCATGTTCCCAATGTGCCAGCATCTGTTATGCCTCCTACACGGGAAAGCCCGAACTGCAGATATGCTCGGGGCTACTCTCAAAGTCTCCCACTGATGTTTTTTTCTTATGTGGCTTTTGGCAAGGGGCTTCGCTCTTCAGTATCCTCGTTCCCTCAATCCACAGACCATCGAAAATATTCCTGTCTGACAGTTATGTAAAACTAATTAATTACCATGGTTTGGAGACGATGGTTTGTGAAATAAAAACCACACCAAATTACTAAGATTAAAAATTAAATGGAACTGGGATCAACAGAATAAGAGGACTGATTTTAAAGAGAGTTAAAAAAGGCATTACTTTTGTTCAAAACAAACCACTTTCAATACTTTAGGGTTTTTTTTTAAATCAGAGCAAAAAAACCCAGCAACACATAAAGTGCTTTTTTGTGTGTGTAAATACTATCAAGACAAAGAAAACTATATAATTTTGAAAATATTTTAGTTGTCACAAATATTGAAACCCCCAAAATAATATACATTGCTATTTTTGTTAGATTTTGAAAACATTTCATTATCATTGTCCTGCATTCTACGAAACATAGTTTGTTTACTTTCAAAACAAAAATCACGCATTCAAATCTACTGCTTAGCAAGCTTTCCCTAGCTCTAGGTACTGGATGAAAATAAACTATAGTCAGCACTGAAATACCCATATTAATTGACTGCATTGAGACCACTTTTTATGGAATAATCCTAACATAGTGAAGAGGGTTAAAAACAAATTACTTCTATTTTTGTCCAGTGTCACGTGGGAAAACATTTGTTTGCAAAAACGTTGTTTTTTAAAGATCATGTTCTCCTTAAGGAATTGACAAGACTTACCTTACTTTTGTACCTCTGATCTCCCAGTTTTAACAGGACGAAGATCTCTGTCATGTCTCCCCCGGAGACATTCTTCCCTTCCAACAGAGTTATACTTATGATCCCGTTCCAGAGTTGGTTCTTTCGCAAGGCCTCTGAGAGCCGCAGGCTGCGTATCAAAGAGGACTAGAGCAACAACAACAAAAAATAATAAAGAGAGATCAACTTGCTGATAATTCTCGAGGGCGACTTTGGGGATCACAGGCATTCCAGCTTTCGATATGTGATCACAAAGAGCACTCCCTGCCTGGTGCAAGCGTTAATGCTCTTCATTGCTTCTGCAGATCTGCAATCACAGTAACGGGATTGCCTTCTCCAGCACGGAGGGGCTCGTAGCGAACTCGGGAAGGATGAATAGGAGCAACACTTGCATTCAGCACTGGCCTGTCCTCCCACCCAGCTCTTGCCTCAGAATCCTTCACCTGGGCCTTTGGCTACATTAATAGCAGGAAGGGGAGCAAAGCATTCTGGGAGACAGAGATAGAAGCAACGAGGCATCGCTCTGCAGGGAAACAATACCTCTGGGCATTCAGAAATAATGGTTTTGAATTTCTCCTTCGCACTTGAATCTGTCCCCACTTCCCTTTATTCCTTGGGCTACTACTAAAAAGCGCATGGCATTGCAAGATCCGCCACTTCAGATGGAGCCTGCAATCATCCAGCCAAAGGAGCTTTGCAGATCTGGGGGAGGGAAGGATGGGTGAAGCACTTAGCACAGTGCCTGGAACCCAGGATGGTTCAGTAACTGTCAACTTATTTTCTTCCTTTTCAACATTATGTTATTCATCCCTACTCACACACACCTTCAACAGAATATTGAAGAAGGCAAACATCCCCTATTATTAAGGTATAAAGAGGTCAAGCATACTTTATTTTTAATTTCCAGTATGGAAATTTTCAAACATACACAAAGGCAGAATAGTATTCGAAATCTCCATGGAACTTATTCAACATTTTGCCCAACTTATTTCACTTATCCTTCACTGTTTCTGGCTGAACTACTGGAAAGCAAGATCCATACCTGCTTTTATATAAACACCATGCTATGGCTGTGCTCAACAAAAGTAGCCGTAATTCCTTTAATTCATTAAACACCCAGAACATATTCACATTTCCCTGACCATCCCCACAATGTCTTTCTATAGTTAGTGTGTCTGGGAGAGGATCCCAATACAATGTACACGCGCATTTAGTTGGCGGAGTTCATTTATGTTCTCTGTTCAATAAATAAAATGGCACGAGCCTGGACCACGTTATTTGAAGGAGGAATAAATGGACTGGAGAATGTAAATGGTGCCGAGTATCATAGTAAAGCAATGAATTTCTAACACTATATATCCTCCCTGTCATCTGCTCAATATATCTTCAAGATCGTTTAGACACCAGTGTGCTCGGACACCAGTTAGTCACAATTTATCACAACAAATGGTATGTCGGTACCGTATTAATTATGTCCCAGCTTACCTCATCCAACACACGTCACTGCGCCACTCCGAACGAATGAGGTGCCCGTGCCACACCAAGCATTTGGCCGGGCATTTTATAGTCACCTTCAACATTTAAGGTGATCTACACCCCCAAACTTCATACCCATGCCACTTTCCCCTTAAAATGCACGCACACAAACACAAACACGCACACACGGCTGGAGGTGCAGAGACAGAGAATGGACGATAAGAAAAAAACTAACTTTAAAAAGAAGAGAAAACCCTCTCTCCTGGAGAACAGAAACATTCTCTCGTAACTTCTGTTTGCTGTTGGGCTGTGAACCAAAGACGCTCCATAATGAAAGTTTATGAAATAGTTAAAGTTAAGCCATTTTTTCTTTGTTAAGAACAACACATGCCCTCATGATATACAGACACATATATAAATATGTATGCGTACATGTATATATATTTATATATCTACATGCAAACATACAGGTATAGATACACTTAACAGATTTTATAGTTTATTAAGCCCATAGGCTGAAAACATCTACTTTTAAAAAGAAAATGAGATTTTGATTCATATATCCTGCTGCAACATCTTTTTTTTTTTTTCAAGTTTTTTCTTCTCCAAGTTTGACTTGCCAACCAACAAGCTAATGCATGACCTGTCCCGGGGCCATGCTTCAAAGTCCCGACAGATATATTCCTCCCTAAACACTGCAACTATTTCAAAATCCTTTTTATAAAGAAGGGAGTAATGTCCACAAGAGATCAAAGGGCATCCTACAGTCTGGCAATTGCCTGAGAAAAATGGCAGTGCTTCTATGAAATATGCCCTAAAATAATTTTGTGGCTTGGTATGTCCTAATTTCAAATTGGATGTTTATCTTGGAAAGGCTTCTATCTAACTTGTCCATAAAACAGCCCCACTTAGCTCTGTGAGCTCTGTGAAAATGGGATCCAAAGCTGGTCATTAAGGGGGCCTAGAGATAGGTTCCATATGGCGGAACAGCATGGGAGGGCGAGGCTAAGGCCTCCATCAGGCGCGGCTTGGCTGGAGCTCCTGATCTATCCATGGACACTCGTTGCATTACACCATAACATCTGGATTATTGCTTGTAATGTCCCTGGGAAATATCCACTTTCCATCAAAGCCTTTATCTATCTCGGCCGGACTTTGAACATTTTAGCATGTAGCGCAGCCATGTTTGATGTGACGGACTTACTCTTTGCCGTCCAAGATTTCTTCCCCCCTTACTAAAGGCAGGGTGGGAAAAGAGAAGTGTGCCTTGCACCATTCACAGATAGAAAAGAACATAAAACCTTTATTGTGCTTATTTCACCCTAAATATTTCTGCAAAGACTACTTACTATAAGGTTACGTCCAAATGAAGTTTCATCTGCTAGCAATGTATTCCGCAATACATGCACGGGCTTTAAAAAAAAAAAGTCTCTTAATTAATTTAACATTTCTCTTCCACCCTGGAGAGTTGCAATGAGGCTTCAGAGCAGCGTCTGGCTGGGGGCCGCATCCGGGCCATCCTGTGTGAGCTCTGATGCAGAGCCGGGCTCTCAAATTCTTTAGTGGTCTTCAAACACTCCCTTTCTCCCCACAATAAATCGACTCCTCTGCACTCACTCTGTTAGCTCAATAGCTCAGGTTTTCATGTCTGTGCCTGAGCCTGGAAGGGAAATTTGTCATCTTAATGCAGCTTGGAATGTGAAAGGAGAAAAGGAAATGACCCATCAAAGGACAAGCCCACCCCACCTGAGCTGAAACAAACACCCAGAGATAGAGCAAAGTTTCTGGGTCCTGACCCTAATTTCTCAGCAGACATAACGGATAAAATATAGTACATCAGGGTTTTGTTATGTTTCTCCTTCCTCCCCAAGGATCAGAACCTTTTACTATTTCTATGTTGATTCATTCATAGGCTCTCTCTCCCTCGGCCCCCACCTTACCAAATCCACAGCGTTCTTTGAAACAGAGTGACTTCCATCCAGAACACATGTGTTAGTTATTACTAGTGAAAACAAGGTGTGATATCTAACGTAGAAATATCCTGGACCTCATAAAAATGAAACAGCTTCCCAACCATTCATTTACTTCCGGGTCAGGAAAATTTCATAGACAAGAACTGGAAGAAAGAAGGAGGCGGGCTGGAAGTACAAGCAAGCTGAGGTGCTGCTGCTCACTTCCGACAGGGAGAGCATCTTGGGGAGTTTCTGATCTAGGAATAGACTCTCAGAGCAGCGAATGGCTTGCTGTGCCTGGGACATAGAAGGTGGAGCACAGCTTGACTGATATCATGAGGTGATTCCCTTGGGTGTAACAGAATGCCCCAAAAGTTAAAGATAAAAATTAAAAAGAGGGGCAGTGAGAAGATATTTTCACAAGATTTTTGCAGTAGAGCATACCTTGTAGGTGCCAAATACTCCATGGGTACTTTTTAAACCATCTCATTGGAAGTGCAAAATGGGTTCCAATGTTGCCAATGCATCTTATTTTGACTCTCATTCATTATGTTTTCCCTAAGTCATTGTAAGAAAGAAGGTAGTCAATGAAAACAAATGCATGGAAAAGAACGAACTTTGTAAGTAAAAAAAAAAAAAAAAAAAAAACAGGAAAGCAAGATTGCGACGATGTCAGCACGACTTAGAAGAGCTAAGGGAGATCCCTGGGTCTATAAGAGGTTTCCCTGAAATATTCCTTCCCAGCATTTTCAACATGTAAAACTACTGCTCATTGTCAACAGCTTTTACAGCGTGACATGAGAAAATCCATACATTCGTGCAGCGGGCGCCCAGAAAACCTCCCACCCACAGTGCCTTATATCATCTGAAGAGGATCTTGGAGGCATAAATTCCCCTACAACTACACAAAAATCTTCGCGTAAGAATATAAAGAAAGCCTTTTAAATTTCCCACATGGACACGGGAGATGAGATTTATATCTGTAGATGAATAACACAGTCCCAAGGCTATGAATAATCTGTGTGTACAAAGATATTAGCTATAAAAGTTTTATATTCAGTTTAATATTTTTTTAATTGTGAGGGAATATCATCACTCAGTTGTTGTAACTAAAAGTAAAAATTAAATTAAGAGACTTGAAAAATGAATAGAGTCTATAAATACCCAATGACTCTCAGGGTTTGGGACCAGAAAGATGCTTTGAATGTATTTAAAAATAAAAGAAATAAAATAAAAAGAAGGCCATGTGATACAATAAGATTTTCTGCTTTGCCCTGATCTCCAGCAGGCTCATATACAATCATGTTCATCATCTCATCTTCCTTGATTCACCTGCATCATCTGTGGGCCTTCACATCTATGTTCCACGTTTCTATGTCTCTTCTTCATTTAAAATGCTTCTGGGACTAAGTAAAGCGAGTGCAGCTCTGGGTATAAACAATTGGAGCGATCATTCCTTCTTGGGCTTCTGCAAGGACAGGGATGGGGTCTGAGCCCCCAAGTGACTTCTTCTGATTCACACCCTGGGCACCTCTTTGCCTCCCCCTGATCCCAGCCCTACCTACGATTCAGCAGTGTAGCCACTGGCCTACAAACCCCGCCCTTCTTACTCCTCTGGCTTTGCGCCCTGGTCCACCCCAGAGGTCCTCACACTTGGACATGCTTCAGACTCACCTGGGAGGCTTGCTAAGGGATTGCTGGCTCCGCCCCTGTGGAGTTTCTAATTCAAGGGGTCTGAAGTGGGGGTCAAAATTTGCACTTACAGCAAAAAAATTAGGTAGTTTAGGTATATAGGTAGACAGAGACAAACAGGTAGATAGACGTATAGGGCTGTTTTGTTATCTAGGTATGCATTTCTCCAATCCTTTGGGTTTAACCAAGAAAATGAAATGGAAAAAAGGTGCTACTATGGGTGGGTACTGAGTTAAGAATATGTGACAATGAAACAAGAACAAAGCAAACAAATAAAAAGCACTGTATTAATCGGAAAAGATTTCCAGGCCTGACGCCCTCCAGACAGCTCCTCAGAGGACCACATGTCTTGCAAAAGGCTCTTGCTAGTACCACTTCCCAGGCCTACATGGGAAGTAGGGAAGTGAGTTCATCACACAAAGAGGTGTGGTAATAGGGCATTCACTCCAAATTCTTTGACCATCCTCTTCTATTGAATTTACCCACCCCCAACATAAAACTAGCTGAATTTGTTAAAGCCACATTTGCAAAGTACCTGAGGCTGAGCCCTTAGCAAAAGGGTAACCCTCCAAACATGTTGCCTGTTAAGTGCTCAACCCCGAGTGAGCTCTTAAGTCTCTGCCAAGTGTTCAGAAGCAACATTGACACTGTCAACCTGTATGACTGAGTCAAAGGCAAAAGCAGAACCACAAAAATTTGCCAAAGATTTTCCAGGTTTCGCTCATGTGGTCGGACAGCTAACGCACAGCATCAGTCACCCCAGGGGACAGGAGCCTATCAGAGGGGTCAGAACCAACAAGAGGTGCAACATCCCCCCATTGCAAAGGGGCCTGGTCTACAAAATATTCTCAAGACCCCAAAAGCACCCTGTCACGGGATCTACAGTGCAATGAGTCTAAGGTTGGAAGACTTTATGTAAAGTAGGAAAACAAACAGAGGAAGAAGGTTCTTGTCCATGCAATGGGACAGCTCTCAGGGTTCAAGACCAACTCCACCTCTCTGAGAGGCTGCCTGCCTGCCCTACCTCCTAGATGTCAGAGAAACAAAGTGATAAGCCGAGCCAAAAAAGAAAAACAAAATGGAAAAGGGGAAAGAAGGTAGGGAAGGCATGACCTAAATTCATGCAGAACCCTCAGTGTGTAATTCATGATTCTCACACAGTAATCACAATAAAAAAAAAGTATGCAAATAAAAAAAAAAAGCTAAAAGCGAGAACTTAGCCCCTGTATTTGTTAGTGGAAGTCAACAGGAAAAGAAAACCATTCAAGGTATTGAAAATACAGGGCACCCAATGCAGAGAAACCAAACAGAATACTGAGATAACCTAAGGTAAGCAATAGGAGGAAGCTTCTAAGACTCTTAGGCTGGGGCAGGAGAGGGTCACCTCTTCTGTAAAGGTCCAGACAGTAAGCATTGAGAGTTGCAGGTCACCAGGTTTCTGTCCCAAAGATGCCACACTGCCACTGTCAGCCAGAGACAATTTATACACAAATGGGTGCAGCTGTGTTCCAATAAAACTTATTTGGGAAAATGAACCTAGGGCCAGACTTGGCCCTCAAGCTGCCGCTCCATGACCCCTGGGCCAAAGAGACAAAAACAATAAATAGTAGGGTCAAGGTCACCTGGTAGAAGCTGAAACCACAGCTGGTCTGGCTAATGGAAGATGCAAAATGCAGACACACCCACCTCCTTTGCTCTCCTCTGCTCTAGTATCCTGCCAATTCCTCCCCCTGGACAAAGCCAGCTGGAGGCCAGCTGACAGGGGACCTTGAAAACATATCTTGCAGAGATCAGCCTCTGCAACAACAGAGTTGCAGAGATAAAAGGATATGAAGCCAAACAAGTCAAGAACTGGCACCAAGAGCCAACTAATTTCATACAGAATAAGAGTTCTACTGGTATGGGGCACGTCTCCTACCTTAGGTTCGTTACATCTTTTACCTTGGATTGCTGCCCTATGACTGCCTAAAACGGGGTTGAAGAGGGGCTGTGGAAGAGTATGCACTTATCCCTGTGCAAATTAATCTAAAGAAAATCCCTAAATCGCACTGTGCAGACTCAAATAATAGCAGGTGGGAGCATGTGTGCCCACGCACATCGATTCAGATCCGAGTACACTCAGTAATTTGTCAATCCCAGTTTATCATCAAATTTTCCCCCGAGACTATGTGATGTAAAAGGAGTAACTACTGTTAAATTTTTATCTCTATTACTGTTACAGACATTACAAAGAGAGAAGTAAGGTTTAGAAACAGATCTACTCACAGCAAAGATTATATACAGCAAATACCCAAAACAAGTTATCTGGTTGAGGCCCTGTTAAATCAGAGTCTCGCTTCTTATTTTTTAAATGCTTATCACAACATCAACAAAAACGGTGGAGAAAACCTCAATGTATATTTGGAGGCAATCTCTGTATGTTGTACATTAAAATCAAGGTCAGTGCAAGAAAGAAACACTTTAGACGAGGCTCTAAAACCACTCTGCCATTCTGGGCTCCTTCCGATGACTCAAACTTACACACTTAGAAATTTAAGAAGCAAATTACCTAAATAAGGTTAAATTATCATAAGAATACAATGGAGGTGAAAAAGCCAATGATGTTTTCTAGGAAACACATTACTTGGAATTAGCAAATTTTTAGATGCTCATAGCTGAGTAATAATCTTCATGTCAAACTCCTGCTACATAATTTTAAAATATAATATGAAAATCCTAAAGAAGAAGCTTATAACTGTAGCTTCAAAATACCAAGATAGGTTGGTCAGGGTGTTTTAAGAGCTCTTATACAAGGTCAAGCATGGCATCTACAGATTTTCCAAGTGACTCATTTTCATAAGCCACTATTGAAGCAGTCTCATCTGCCTCTCCAAAACTGCAAACTCCAAGTATCAAAGAGTCAACCTACCAGTTGAAATTCTTCACCAGCATATAATTGCCTTTCTCATATAAGATCCTAAATAGCTTCCAATGAGTCTATGCATCCAAGGTTTCACTAAACACAGGTACAAGGTTTGGGCATGTATTATGACTCTCAGTCCAGTGCACTGAAGCCAAAATTCTAGAAACTACCATGCTGGGGGAAAACAAAAAACAAGAAGACAATACTCAGTGCAGTGTGGATATAAATACTGCTCTCCAGGATCCTCTGCCCCTTCCATATTTTTGATATCTTTATCCAGGCCGTCAACATGTTTTCTCTCCCTCTTCATTCCTTTGGCCATTCTTCCATAACCTCCCCTGTCCCCCGTAGGCTACAGTATTCCCCAAGCTCACAATTTTTCTTTCTAGCCTTTATGTTCTTCCACAAACTGCCAGTGCTCTTCCACAGGCCAGAGCTCCCTAACTAAAGATGGTTATTGATGTCCAGGACCAGAGTTTTAGTGCAGCAGCAGAATCAATAAACGAGAAAATACTGCTTTGTCAGGTTTCACCAAAGCATGCTGGGAAACTTTACTGCTTCAGATGGTTACAGAGACTCTTAATGTGGGAGCGCTGTGAGCTGGGCTCCCTTCTGTGGCCAGAAGTGATGTTCTTCTACCCTCTAGTGACTATAAAGGAATAAGGCAAAAGTTGCAGGGATTTCTGAGACAGCTTCGCATTTTTTATTGTCTCCTAATTTCTCCAAAGACCCAGAGTCTTGGAAACAAAGTGAATTGGTCACATAACCAAATACCTGATCATAGTTCTTTATTAGTGTTCCAAATGCAAAGGATGTACATTTTAGAAAGAGTTAGAACTTTGATGCCTTTAAATTTTTAAAAGGCAAGCTTTGTTAGAACCAGCTGGCCTGTCTTCCTAAGTGACTGGGGCTTGTCAGGTTACAAATCTCTCTCTTTCTCTCTCTCTCTTTCTCTCTCTCTCAGAGACAAACACAAACTCTTACATATTCACAAAATCTTTGTTTCAAGCCCCTTACTTTACAGAGAAGTAAACAGCTGAAGCACAGTGAGGTCAGAAATTAGAGCTGTCAAATATTAGTGCACGTGTGTGTGAGAATAAATGCATACAAAGAGATTGCTGGCTTGCCCTCCCCATGTAACCTGCAAACCCCCCACCATGTCGGTATTTCTCCTTAACAAAGCAGCCAAGCTGTTAAATTAAGGTATAATTTTTTAAAACATTTGGTTGGTTTATTTTTACACTAATTTAGACATTTAGTCACTTAAGTTACAACACGCTAGTTTAATAACCTGATTATTTATAATGCGTTTCTACCTTGGTACACAGACAAATTGGACAGCAGTAGGTATAATTGTTTCAGTAGATACTAACAATGTAAAAAATCACCAGCACTTCATGAAGAAATAGCTAAAAAAAACTCACCTAAAAAAGCAATAAATGGCTTTTTCAGAAGCTATGAAACATTTATAAAATATACCATAAAATTCTTTCAATTAATTTTTTCATTGCTCCCTCTAACACCGAAGCTAATTTCTATCTAATGGTAAATAACTTTCTAAAATACTACATCTAACTGCAATACACTCCAAATAATCTAAGCTTAATGAAGTGGAACCTTCTAACATGGCCAGTCCATATAAAATGTCACCACAAAAGCCAAGTGCAAGTTCAAACATCTGGCTGTGTCCTTATTAAATGAAATTTTAAAAGGGAGGTTGTGCCCTTATTCATAACAGCAGTAAAAGGGACTGAACACTGCCCCATGCAAAGGGTGGTTTGTATTAATCATGTATGCATCTAAAGATGAACTTTTAACCAAACGAGGTTCGAATAAAAAAACAACAACAACAATATTTACCTTGCTGGCACTTAACCGCTTCCGATTTGTCCACCGCTGAGCACGCATTGTGTCCATTGAATGGTGAAAAATGGCAAAAGGAAAGAGAGAAATAGATTCATTACCAATATAAAAATGTTATCCTATTAGTTAGGTCACACAGACTACATTCAAATGACAAACACCCAACTTTTCTCTGAAGTTACAGACAAGAAAACAGTTAAAAGCACAGAAAAATCGCATTTCTGTGGCTGTTACATCATTTTCCAACAGTGCTTTCCACAATGAAAGTACAAGGACATATAAATACTGCTCTGCCGCAGGAGTCCATTTATGTTTTGAATTGCCTTAAAACATTATAATTTTATCTCTAAAAGCAAAGGGGAAGGGTGTATTTTCACTATGCGAAATATTCAGATAGTGTCTTGAAAATATTTAAGAAATTCATGGACAATATTTAGGTTTCCATTGTATTAGATTCTAGAAAAATAATTCCAGTTACTTCCACTGATGAAACCTCAATTTTCAAAATGAGAAGAGAAACATCTGAGTCATTCCTGCACAATGAAGAAAAGAGGCTAATACAACTGAGGGAGGGGGAAAAATGTTCTGAACAGCAAGGAACTTTACTGCTGTTCTCTTTCCAGCTCTCATTTGTCATGCTAAGGCTGCTGAATTTCATTTACAATTAAAATTCTCTGCTAGCAAAATCCTCTCCTCACTTCCATCTCAGTCCAGGACAGGGAAGCTCTACTCTGGCTGGTTAACCAGCTAACTGGATGTTCAAAGTCGGATAAATTTGGGAGATTACAACTCAATTATGAATCTAATTGAGCAGACCACATTTACTATTATGCTGAGGGAAAAAAAAATACCTTCAGGCAAACGACCTACCCACCTGCCAATACATCTTTCCCATAAATTAGGGACCAGGAAATAAAGTCTTTGGGGGAAATCCACTTACATTCCCATGACCAGCAACTAGAAACATTGGTACAGAAATGACTTGAAAAGAGTCTTTATTCAAAATACTTCCCCCGATGAAACTGGGAGTTCAGCATTCAGCACGTGGCAGAGAGCTCTGGCCACTGCGTGCTGAGGTACTGAAATCGGTTCTTATTGTATTTTCCTAATAGCATATCGACAAACACATCAACCCAAAACAAACACCAAAATGAATTGCCATCTTATGCAACAGTCGCAAGGCTGTTTAGGGCCTTTAGACATATAATTCTTTCGATTTTATAACAATCCTAAAAGATACATAAAATGGATATGGAGATTAATAAAAAAATGATCACTACTGTCTGCTTACTATAAACAAAGAGCTACCATATAGAGAGTGTCTAGCCCACGCCAAGCTCTCTATAAAGTAATCTTCGTCTTCACAATTCTGTGAAATAGGGGAGCTTTTTTATCACCACTTCATTCACGAGGAGATTGTAGCTGTCGTTAAGAGTGGTAAGGTTGTTCTGTGAATTTGCCCTGAACATGCTGGAGGTGGGATTCAAACCCAGGCAGTCGGATGACAAAGCCCGTAACTCTAACTATAATCCTACTTTTGCCAAGGAAAAGAAAACAACGCCAGGTTTGTCAGCCTTCCAGCTACCGCCTTACCTTCTAACTGTATACGGCCCCCATGCACACAAGTCTGTGCTGAGGGGCAATTCAGAAATGCTTTGCACACACTAAGATTTTTGTCTGCTTGATTCTAATGTGACAAAGATTGCCTCAATGATGACAGAAAGAGATATGGGTACAAAACTGAGAATTCAAACTGCAATCTCTCCATCAGACTTGAAATGAAAATGGAAATTTATATTAAAGACATGATTCCCTATCTACAGGTCCTTGCCTCCCCAGTCTAGAGTGTGAGTTATTCCCATTTAAAAACCCAATATAAAAAGACTTAAATATTAACCGAAACTCAGTTCAAAAAGCACTCAGAGATTTCCTGCTATGTGTTATACCCAAAAGGCCCCTGATAGGCCCTATGAATTGAATAAGTAACTACACATGCCCCTTGATAAATAATTCCTTGCTGGTGCATACTTTGATCAAGTATAGACACTGGAAAATAAAACTACCAATCGGAACAAATGAGAGCAGGCAGGGTTTTCTATATTATAATACCCACATAAAATATATATAAAATAAATGTATTGCCCACTAGACCTCTGCCAGACAAAGAACAAAGAAAATGAGAAAAGTGCATGAGAAAGCACATACCCAGTCTGAAAAATCTCTCAAAAAAACAGGAAGGGAGGGCTCAGCGGCAAGGAGAGCCAAACCAAATACGAGGAAAAGCGTGGCTACTTTTAGGACTCAAAGATATTCCTTGAGATGTTTTACAAAAACAAACCCAAGCTGCATCTAATGTTAACTTCTCTGCAACTTGACATAAATTGTCTAACTAAGATAGCGCTGCTTTAAAACTCCAAATTTCAGCAACATTTCAATAGATGTTAAGCGTCACTGTTACTACTAAACATAATCCAATGTATCACAGAAAAATTCACGAGGGGAATAAATATGCAGTTATTACACAGCTTACACATGAGTATTTTCATGGGGAAATTATCCAATTTTACCAACCCCACTTGAATGTGTAAGAAATGATTAGAACATATCAGCTAGCAATTGCTCAACCATGTGGCAAATGATACTTATTTACATTGCGTGTTATTTTAACCTGGAATCCAGATCAGGTAACTGGTCGCCTACTGTTCACGTAGGTGATATGGACCTTGGTGGGATACTGGGAAGCCTAAGAGAAGCTACAGAAAATCCCTTCTTCATTAAGTTGGATGGAGAAACAAATTTATTTTCAACATCAATATAAGACATTTCACCATCAAAATATCAGCGTTGTAGAGACCTGAAGTTTCAACACTGACACTTTTTTAAGAATCGATGAAGGGTTTTATTTTTTTCAGTTATCGTCAAACAAATACCCACAAGATTTTTGCAGTAAAAATAGCAACTATTTAGATGACCCTCTGGCATTTGGAAAGTCACTGTGTAGTTTTTCTACTTCTTTAAGCCGTTTTCTGAGTTTACTAGTAAATCAGTCATGATTTTCATTGTGAAAATAAATTATAACTACAAGCAAAGATGATGTCAAAATGAAGAATATTCTCCTCTTCGACCCCAGTGACTCAATTCAAGAAGCATTATTGGAGGCCTAATTTATAAACAGGCTTCACATTTTCATGCCAGATTCTAAACATGCTGAATTTTAACACATCTTGGTTCTTTTTCTAGTAAGTCTTTTAGCTAGCTTTAAAAATACCTTTTAAATAAGTTATAATCAAAGATGCTTTTAGTTCTTATTTTAATGCTTGGGATTTAATTATATTCTCTAAATATAAAACGAGATTATTATTTGCCTTCAAATATTTGCTCGTAATAACAAAATCCCAGCCATACCATCACAAAACCCAATGCTTTGTGGATGTTATAGGAATCTTCACTAGGCTGTGCATTAACTAGAAATTTCTACACCACAGACCAGAGAACATTAAAATCTGTATCCTCCCAAAAGTACTCTCACTAGAGAACTTGGTAGCTAAAAGAAAAGACAAAGAAACTGAAATGCTTCAAATATATACTCGATCACCTTAATAATGAGCATTGCAATAAGTAAATCCTAGATACTGCTTTCCATAACTAAATAATACCCAAGGCATCTAGTACCTAAGGAAATGTAAATAAAGACCTTAACACTTAGTACAAGTATTTTTCAGATAATACATTACAAGCAAACAACAAGCAACATATATATTTTAATCACAGCAATACGATCCATACCCCTAGCAAAATAGAGAAAATTCTTAATTGATTTTCCTTCCTGGTTTCTCAAAGAGGGGACATATATAACCACAGATAAGTGCTCCAAGTCTCTAAATATTTGTTTTCCCCTCAAAACAACTGCAAAAAGATCAGTCATCTGGCAGCCCACAATCAAAGGGAAATGGGAAAGAAGGATTTCACGAGGAACACAATGGGGATACTTACATGTCTCTTGAAATCACCCTGTTTTACTACTAGGTTCAAATTCAACACAATCACTCCCATGTCATCCTCCAAACTGTTTGGATCCTCCAATTTTAAGATATGTTCAGTGGTTCTGCAAGCAAAAAAAAACCAAAAACAAATAAGGCTAACACTTATTGGCAGTACTGTGTAGACTTATAATGCATCAGAAGCCCATGGTAAAACTCTCCTACATCTGACTAAGGGTCAAGACACAAGATAAAAAAACCCAAACTTCAGAAAATAAACCAACCCTCTTCAAGGTGGAGAAATTGTTTGGCATTGCCTAATTCAACAGTTGGTTAACTGATTCTTCTCACCCACTGCCCCAAATAAAGTTTAAATACTTGTTTTTATTTTAAGTTAGATAGGTGAAGAGAACCCTGAATATTAACAAATGAGGGTACAACATTTAATACACAGTCTACAATACAGTGTGGAGGATTTACTATCTGACAAGTACATTTGGGAGCTAAAAAGCAAAAATCACTTAAAAGTCACATTTTAAAACACCCTTTCATTTATTCTGATTTTTTTCTTGTCATTTGAGGTAAACAAATGCCAGTCACCATTACCTTGAGCTCCCTCTAAAATCCACTAAGAACTACCCAAAGGTAAAAACACAATTACCTGTTCAACTCAAGATCACTGAGCATGACATACGCAGAGCCCATGAAATCAGATGTAGTTAAATCTCGATCATATACCTTAAAAGAAGCCCAGGAACACACGTTAATATGGTAAACCCAGTTTATCAAATCACTCACAAATGTAACAGGCTGAGAACTTTACACGGTACACTGCAAGAGAAATTTAGCCAAGCCGACGGGGAAAACAAGATTATTCAAACTTGTCCATTTCCCCCCCAGCACAGCCAAAACAGCAGCAGAAAAGTACTTCTAAGGCACTATGCATATGCATTCAGACGCCATGCACAGTGGACTGCTCTCTGTGGTTTAAATGGTCTCTCATTAAAATTTAGTATTTTCCACGGTGAGCAGGTCTGTCAATTAAACAGAAATTTGTTAAATATTCTATAGCAATCTCATCTTGCACGCAACTCATGCAGTCTTAACCCAGATGTTAGAGCAATTAATGCTTACAACCAGTAGCTCGAAGCTCTATTAAGTATAAAGTTATTCCTAATGAGAAAGGCTTTAGTACTGGTTGCTGCTGAACTAGCAGTAATAATTCTTCCACATTCAGTAAGTTTAAATACAATCAATGGAGAGATTGTTTTCACTCTAAGTTTCTGGAGAGGAGATCTCATGGACCTGAAAGAAATATACAATTTCAACAAAGCTTCTAAAAAGTTCTTTCCACACTAATGTTTTTAACCCAGTGCTTAAGGACAACAATGGCAAAAAAAATTAATTTGAGGAGGTTCTGTTTGAAGAAGGCAAAGACTGCTGAGAAATAAATATTTTTCAGAAAAGAGCAGCTCCAAAAGCCACCCGGGATTACCTTCACACGCAGCTTTTGATCAAGGCTTTGTATGGGCAAGACCACTATCTCATCCCAAACTGGGTTCAGGTTCTTATATATGACTTTACTTTTGTACAGCGTCTTCCCATTCAGCTTAAATTTCACGTAGGGGTCGCTTGTGCCTTTAAGAGAGACAGAGAGCAAGACAGGTTTTTCAAATATACATGAAAGCCTAAGATCTCGCCATTAAGTAAAGACCCTTTCCACACTCCTCGGGCTCAAAGCATTTCAACGTGTGCACCCAGAACAAATCTCTCCCTGGGCAGAGATTGAAGGCCCCATAGGTGGAGAGGAGAGATGTATGAAACAGTTTGGGGTAAATGACTGATTCTTCTTTGCCTTCACTGGTGGAATATAAATAGGCTCCTTGAGCTTTTTCTGTTTTGTTTCATTGTAGGTACGTCAGCACTCTATTACCCACAAAAATTCAAGAAATAAAAACCCCCCTGGTACCAGCCAACAATGTCAGGAGTCCTGGGGAGAAGCCCACCCCTCTTAAGAATGGCAGTGAATCAGTGAAAAAAGGGAAAAAAAAAAACGTTTTCAAACATTTGGCCAGATGGCTGACTCGACAGAACCCTGTACTTTAGCATATAATCATAATAAATAAATCAATCTCTGGAAGCACTGGCTCAAAAGATGGGGCGAGGGGACTAAGACTGGAACCAGGGCGCTGAGATGAGACGGACAAAGTTGCCATTCTTTGCTGCCGTCCGCACCTGCAGTAAAGCAGAGAACACTGTTTCAGCCCCGCCAGCTGAACGCCACATCAGCCAGGCCCTCAGCTGGCCTCGGGGCGGCACCCCTGACCCGCCGGCTCCTCCTGGGGTGCTTTGAAACAGACGCCAGGAGAAATGAATAAGGTCCCTCCAGCCACTATATCCAAAGCAGAAAAAAAGGGGCCAATGACAGGCCCTCCTCCACACTTTCAGATCAATGGAGAGGGAGAAAAAACTGCCTGCCAACAGAATGCATGGATTACGTGTGGTGCGTGAGGGTTACATGCATGCAAGCGTGGCATCATACTTGGGACACATAACAGCGACTGGAACACACTTGTGCATTGTTGCCTAGTGAATTATGAATAAAGAAGACACAAATGAACAGCCAGCTGATACTGCTACACAGAAAGAGAAAATCTCATGTGGGGAGGTATAATATAATTAATCACAAAACACAGAACTAGGAATAAGTACATAAATACCAACAGTCTGTTTTGTTCATTGATTTATCCTAGGTGCCTCAGACAGTGTCCAACACAGGCCCGCACTTATGTACTGAGTTGAACTCTTGATGGTAGTGTCAAGTCAAAACAGTCTGAGAATATCGAATCAAAAAGTAGTTAGGCCACTCTGTCACTAACAATGACCAGATCATTAACACCCATCATTAATTACTTGAATCTTTTACTTTAGCTCCTTTTTAGGTTCCTATGTAGCTGCAGAACTAAAAACTACTGAAAATGAAGGCAATACATTTCCTAACTATTTGCACTGAAAGCCACATCCCTGTCAAGCAAGATAGTACACATTGTTTAAAAGTCTTGGTGGATGTGCCGAGGAATAATTTTCGTGAGTCTTCCAGGATCGCAAGGCTACTAACTTTAAAAAAAATTAAACTACAAAGATACACATATCCATATTCAAATCTCACATTTTAAGTTTGGCAACATGGGGGCAAAAGCCCAGCTGTCTCTAGTTTAAACTTGGACAGACACAGACAGACAGACACACACACACACACACACACACACACACACACACATCAAGTTAAGTGGCAATTCTGAGTGGGATTATAAAAATGAGCACATCCATAGCCATTCGGTGCAATACTCACTAGTGAGCAAGCAGTCTGCCCACCACTCCCCCTTACAAGTCAGACTTTAACAATCATTCTGATATATATATATATATATAAAGTGGAGGAAAAACTATAATAAAAAGAGGCCTTTAATTAAATGAAATTGCCACTCCGGGATCAGGGCTTCATGCTTGTCAGCGTCCTCTCAAAATAAACATCTCAAAACCAGGCCTTGATACTGTCACTTTCTCACAGGCAAAGCATACTGGGTAATCCCCAGGCATCTTGACAGCTACATAATGTTCAAACTGTTTCACGGGTGAATGGCGGCAGTTGCGTGAAAGAAAATATTAATGTCTGGAATTAATAGAAAAAGGGACCAGGGTGTACAAAGCCAAACAAGGAAAGAGGGTGTCAAGTTAGCACGGCGTTAATTGTTCGGGAAAATTCGAGGAAGGGGGGAGTCCAGGGTGACTCTTCTCTCCGAGCCTAAGTGCCTCACTGTCAGCGACGTGATGTCTCAACTAGGCAGGCTCTGAAAAGAGTGCAGCGGCTCAGAAATGCAACGCCCAGATTATACAAATGGCGAGATGACACCTGAATGAGTGGACTTTAACCTTTTTCACTGGGAGCTTCAGAAACAATGAAGCTCTTTGGAATAAAGGGGTAGGGTGGTACTTGGGGAGGAGAAGAACACTGGGAGGTCAGGGACCGTGCCTCCAGGCTGGGGCTGCCACTAAATCTGCCCTGGGGACCCCACGGCATGACACAACCTCAAATTTAGAATATCAAGGCCTTCAGCATCCGTGGCCTGAGCTCCCCTGCTCTATCCCAAACACACTGGGGTTCTGCACACTCTCAGATAGATGAACAGCCGTTCATCAGTCCTACAAAAATGTCTTACCCATTTATACTCCTGACAACTTGCATGACAGTCCTCATTTCTGCTCACGCTCAGCGACACTATGGCCCGTCCAGTCTCCCTGGACTCCTCACCTGTCAGGCCTGCTAACACTGCTCACGTGCCACACACCTGCACAGGTGACAGTGCATGGCTCAGTGCCCGGCACTGGGAGGGGGGTTCGAAGGAAAATTAATCCCAGATCCTGCTCTTCTGCACCTGGCAGGCAGCAGGCAGACTGTAAATATAACCCAAGAGGTAAGTGTCAAAACAGAATTGAATTTGAAGTTATGCAAGTTCACAGTCGGGGGAGGCTGAAAGAGAGATGGGAGTTGAGATCTGAGTGAAGCTGGATGTGCAGAGAGGGACCGAGGTCCCCTGAGCAGAAGGGATTGGCACTGAAAGGGCAGGAGGGGACAGAGACCAAAGGGACAAGACGCAGGTAGTGCCAGACAAGCGTTTCAATGTATCCAGAAACGATAGATAAAAATGTAATAAAAAAAGAAGTTTAAGAGGCAGATTGGAGTCAGAGACCAAAGTGCCCTGAAATAACAGAATAAGGAGTTTCGTTTTTGTTCTGGAAGAGAGAGAGGGTGTTTTTGTTTTGTTTTGCCGTCTTTCTTTTTCGTATTTTAACAAAGGAAAGACATGCTCACAACTCGGAAAAGTATGAAATAAAAAGTAAAGTCTCTGCCCTCTTAACTTTTCCTTACCACCCCCCCCCCCGCACGCCTGTCATGTGCCAGTTTCTCGGGTGTTTTTATAGAACAAAAATATAGGAATTGCTTTTAACTCAGATGTCATCACATCACATGCACTGGACTGCATGGTTTCACTTTCTCGATTAAAGCACTTTGGTCTCCGCTCAGATCCCCGATACGGATTCATTAATTTTGGGTTTTAGTGAAACAACTGCGGAAGTTATTCTGTTAGTGTGTCTTCATTTATGTCACTAGTCCCCAGATAATGGACATTTACATCACTTCCATTTTCTTTACTAGTACAAATGGTACTACAATAAGCATCTGGTATGACTGTCTTGGGGTTCGTCAGTGGTTACATTTAAAAGGAATTTTTGACATTGGAACTGCCTGGCAAATTAATGGGTGCATGTTCTGGTTCCAACAGACAGTGTCAAATACTTCTCCTCCCCAAATCTGTCAAATGTATACTTTGACCAAGTGGAGGGAATGTATAATTTTTTACTTGTTTCTCTACATGGTCACCAACATTGGACATTATAAACCTTTTTAAAAAACCAATGTGAGGTGAAAAGTGGTATCTCCATTTTTCTCTGTTGATAGCATTTGAGTAAATCCCATTTTAGTGGCCTGCATTTCTATTCCTTTGTCAAGAGAATTCTTGTTCATAACCTTTTCCCCCCTTTTGTATGCGTTTATGGTTTATCATCTGCTTACAGATTTGAACAGGTCCATAATTAAGGCAATCAGTCACTGGCTATACATTTTTTCATAATTTGTTTACACTTATGTTATTTCTTGCAGTGAGTAAGTTTCATTTTATTTAGTCAAATTTACCAAATTATAGTCACATTTATGGCTTTGTAGTTTAACATTCTGCTTAGAAGAAATTTTCTCACTATAGGATTTTAAATTAGTTCAGCTATGTTTTCTTCCACAGATTTTGTAGAGTTTCGGTTTTTACACTTAAGCCTTTGGTCCATCTGGAATTATTTTAGTGTGTGGAGGGAAGGAAATTCAGGTTCGCTTATGGGCAGGAGAGTAAAATGATCAGAGCCAAGCTCGAGAAATATAAATCTGGCAGCAGCTTATAATTTAGAAGGCAGAAGAAACAAGCTAACGCAGGCCAACCTGGCCATTGAGATAATACAGCACCAGGACATTGAAGACAAGGAAGAAAGCTGTCCCGAGACTGTAAGAAGTAAAAACCCAGAGTTTCACAAACATGGGCTTTGGAATGTTTGTCTCAAGAGATGCTCCATGGGCTGGAAGGGTTAAGTCACAAAAACCATCGAGAAAAGCCATTTACCATTTTCTCACTTAGAACTTCTTCCAAGACCTTCATGAAAGACAGACAACAATAAAACCGCTGAAAACTTTTCTCCTCTGTATTTCGTAAGATGGTTTTAACACACAGAACACTTGACTTGGAGCACCTATGAACATAATATTAAACTCCTCCAATTCAAAGTTCCGTTTATAAAATATATGTCCAGAATTCCCTAGTTGTATGCATGGTACATAGATTTTAAATAGGTGATAAGTGAATTAATAAAGTTTGGATTAAGATGGGCATGGTGAATTTAAACAGCAGGCCTTGCTTTTAATAACTGCATTACTTGGGGCAACACCACATCCTTCTGCCTCCTGTTTTCACCTACAAGAAGGAAAATCCCAACCTGAAAGAATTACACTGAAATGGAATGAACCAGTGCACATC